GATTTTAATAGTTAATAGTATCAGAAGCTGCTGACAGATCAAGAAGAGCAAGGATGGATACACCACCCCCATCCCACTGCTGCCAGAAGGCAATGACAAGTGTAATCAGTGCTGCTTTGATCCCATACCCATGTCTAAAACCTGACAGAGAGGGGTCTGGATTGTCTGTGTTTTCCATTTGCTGGAGCTACTGTATGACCACCTTCTCTACAACCTTCCCTAAAAAGGGAAGGCTGGAAATTGGATGAAATTTGTTCAGTACAGTTGGGTCTACTAATGGCTTCTTTAACCACTTTAAAGGATGACTGAGAGGGTGAAGTTAGCAGCTGGAATACAACACTGAGATAAAACATTAAGAACATGGACCAGGAGATCAGCCCCCTCATCTCCCACCATGCCTCCCTATCTGTCACCACATTCTGGCTTGCCCTGGGCCTTCAGAAATTTCTTTCTCCCCCAATACATATCAGCTGGCCCCAAATCAGAGGACCGTCATCCCACAAAAACCATAAACTAAACACACCTAGGTGCTATCTGGATTCAGGATAGTTCTGCTCCCACACTCAGCGTTCCCAATTATCCCAATCAGTATCCACTTCAATCACACATCCACTTTCTATCAAACAACCTGGACAAGTGAGGATACTCACTTCTCCATCCAACTTGAGGATAACCCAAATTGCTGCCCCACTCCAGGTTCTCATCCAGGAGAGGACAGACAGCCCCCTACAGCTAAGGAGGAATTATATTTTACAAAACCACAATCCACATAAAATGCTCAGTCCATATCACACCAACTACAGTCCACCAGTCTGGATGGACTGATCTGGGTTAGTATTAAAATTTATTTACTTTAATCAGTTTTAAGGCCAGCACTCACAGAGCAAGGCCAGGTGTCTTGTATGACTATAGAATTTTTAAAAAATCAATGCATGAAATAACAGATCCATAAAAACATACAGAATCAGAGACAATTAAATCTAAGAACACATCTAGGCAAGTTCAAACAACATCCTGGCCCAAGTGCCTGGGGGGGAGGGGGGAAATCAGGTGTTCAATCAAAGGCCATCAATGTCTGTAGGAGCCAGTCTGTGAATTAGAAGATGAATCTTGGCATGAAATGTTTTTTTAATCAGATTTCCATGAAAACTTACAAAAGGGAAAGAGATGAAAGCTTATTCAACATTTCCATTATCAGCAACATCTCTTTGTCGAATGGCCAATCTTAATAATTATTTTTCATTGTTTAAAGGAGTAGATTATTTTCTCAAGGTAATTTACAATAACGTAATTGTCACTAACTATTCTTTATTTTTAACGTCCCTATTTATTTCCATACTGACTCCGAATACAATTATTTTATATTGGTTGACTTAGTTCGTACAACATGCTGTGTACTGAATTATCCCATTTTCCTGGCCAGAATATATTGAAATATGCTAGTAAACCAGTAAGCATTACACCATACACTGAGCTATACCTAACCACATTTTACATGTGCAATTGCAATTATTTGTTTTTAATTGACTAGTTTAAATTTAGCCCCTGCTAACTAATTAACTCTGTTGGCTGAGTTAACAGAACATAAACTAGCCAACTAGATGGGTTCACATAGCATGCTTGGCCCAATCCAATCACAATTATAGCCAATTAAACCACCAATTGAGTCAGACCAAGGATTCAGCTAGCCCAGGATTGCCAATGTCAGATTCCTCTTGACTGTTTCAAACTTGGCTGAAGTTCTCCGAACACTTAGAGCAACACAGCTATAAAGAATTGTTATTGTCCATAAAGAATGAAACTATTTTAAACAGTTGATAGTTTTGTGACAACTACAGCTGCAGTACCACTTATACCAGCTTAAGTTTAAATTCAAGACTTTGTCCTAAGTGTTGTTTTTATATTTCTTCTGCTTTGTGCTACAGTAGATGTCTATTGGTTATTTATATTCTTAGCATTCTTTTCCTGGGAAATTAGCTCCAATATAACTCCTACAGTTATCACCAACTAGCAGGGGTTCCCTAGAGTTTTACAGTGCTGCTTTTTTCCAGGTAAGGAAAAGGGAGTGGACAAATGGTGGGATTTAGCCAATTTGCACCACTTTGGCAGAACCAGTAGCTAATTTTTTGTTGCCCAGCTCCAGAAAGGACTTCCGGAAGCAGCATCCACATAGAGAACCAGTTGTTCATATATTTGAATCCCACCACTGGAGTGGATGTACAGTCATGTACTTTCAAGTCATGTGTTCTGCCACTGAGCTATAACAGCCCCTAACTATGAACATATGTAAATGATGTACCTCATGTATTAAGGAAGTGAGTTATGGTCCTGTACAAGTTAAACAGGCTAATCTTTAAAGTTCAACAATACCAGGACTTGTTTTAGTCTTTGTAATTATTTATCTTGGCTGGGGTTCTCGTAAACCAAGGATGCACATTGGCTATGTTTCCACAACTGATTAAACAAAGTCATTTAAAGACTATTGTAACTACTGTACATTCCTGCTTTTCTTGGGCAACATGAACTTTTCATATTTCTCTCTGTCTTCCTCTCTCAGCCTAGGACATTGGATAAACCCAATCTTATTGGCTAGTTTAAGTGGAATGTATCATTGAACCTCAGTAAATGGCATAATGCAATATCCAGGTGAAGTGGGTTATATGATTTCAGCCTGAGTCATCACAATCTCAATGTATGAGAGACTTTCTCTATCCTAGAATGGTTCTGAGGTCCAGCATCATGATTCCAGTTTGAGCAAGCAAGGATCACAACCTGGCTGAGATTCCTCTACCATTGCACGAAAAAGTGAACAACTCTTTAAATAAGATTACTCCCCAATGATTGCTGAGTGACAGGCTGGTTGAATCCCAGAGCCATGATTGGTTGACTCAGCAAAAACCATTGTTACATTGCTAGAGAACAAGGTGATGAGCTATAAAAACATTATTTGCTCTCTTGGGGATGGTCCAGACATCAGAGGGGCCCCAAGGACCGGTAAGTTCAGAAAAAATAGTGATCTCTCAAGAGCTGCTTCGCGGCCTGGGCTGAATATTTGAGGTTTGGCTCCCGCTGCAGCCCATAGCCTGAGAAATCCCAGCGCTGTGGGACTGAATCGGTCCCAACAGGCATAATTCTCTTGGTTGAACCATTCTCATCCGGGCCCTAAAATCTTTCCCTCTCAGATACTGATTAATTGTTCATCTTTGGGAAGCCACAGTTCCTTTTAGGAACAATGATTATGATTAACATTTCAAAGGGGATGGCAAAGACTTATCAGCCACAGCAAAAATCCAGAGAGCTCCCTGGCATGTTAAAGGCCAACGGATTTATTAGGACAGATCTGCACAAGCTTCAAACCTGTTTGTTATGAAAGATAAGACTGATATTGCTTTGTACATTGGGGATATATGTGCAGTGTCTCAGGAAGTCAGCCCTGGGAGCCAGAAGATGCCTCTGCTATTTCTTAGAGACTTTCTTTGGTGTAAAGGTAGTCCTTGACTTACAAGCATTTGTTTAGCAACCTCTCAAAGTTAAAACAACTCTGAAAAAAGTGACTGGTCTTTCTATTTATAACCACTGCAGCATCCCCATGGTCATGTGTTCAAAATTCAGATCCTTAGCAAGCTGCATGTATTTATGACAATTGCAGCATCCTGCAGTCATGTGATCACCACTTGAAAGCTTCTCAGCTGGCTTCCAACACACCAAGTCAGTGGGGGGAGCAGAATTCTCTTAACAATCGCATGATTCACTTAACAACTATAGTGATTGGCTTAACAACATACCTCCTAAAAAGGTTGTGCGTCACTTAACAACTGCCTTGCTTAGCAACAGAAATTCTGATCCCAATTGTCATCATAAGTCAAGGACTACTGTAGATCAGGCATGTCAAACTGCCAGCCCGCAGGCCAGATGCATCACTCCAAAACTGCACCCACCCCATTGCCGGCAATGGGGGGAAAGTCACATGACGTTGCAAGTTTGACATGCCTGCTGTAGATTCTTAATATCACTTGGCTTTTTCCCTGAGAGTGGTAGCCTACCCTTACTCTTGTTAGCAAAACATATCCTCCTCATTGTGGAGAGCAGGAAAGATGATAATATTTTGAGGATGCTGACTGACTAATGAATAGCCACTGCATGTTTTCCTTCCTATTAAGAATTAGTACCCACCTTGGGGAATCTACCAAGGAATGATCAAGGCTGAGAGATAAACATCCACAATTAAACTTATATTCAATGGTGTTTGGTGATTTCAGAAGGAAAAGAGCTTGATTCATCAATGTAAGACTACTGCCATCTTGGTGGAGGACAATTTGGCCAGCATTACATAATCAAAGCAAGATAATGGAGTTGCCAGGCACTGTTTATCAACAAAAACTGCAAATAGAGGAAGTCTTCTAGAATAGTGTTTCTCAGCCTCAGCAACTTTTAAGATGTGTGGACTTCATGCTGCTGACTAGGGAATTCTAGGTGAAGTCCACACATCTTAAAGTTGCTGAGCTGAGAAACACCAGTCTAGATGATTAACCATTTAGGGATCTTGCCATTTTAAATGAAAGTTTTGGGTAAGATTGATCCCACACTTAGTCCCCTCACCTTCCCATTACACACATAGAAGCAAACTACTGCACTATGGAGTAAGGTTTTCTGCTTCAAAAAGCAGCAACCTACTTCGGTGGCCCAAGACAGGCCAAAAATGTCAAGTCCTCTTCCAAGAGAGGAGGCTGTATAGACCTCACAAGAGGAATGTTTCATCCAGTCTGCCCCACCACCTGCTGGTGAGGTACTTTCCCTGCTGTAACGTGAGAGCAGATCTAAGCAGAGAGAGAGAGAGAGAGAGAGAGAGACGATGGGTAAGGAAAGTTAAAATGAGGAGCTCTGCTGCTCTCTAGTGGCGTCTCAGGTTTGAAAGAATATTTTTACAAAGATAAAATTTTTAGGATTCTCATCACTTTGTTGATTCCGCTTAACTGCGGCGCAGGAGTGGAGGGCTCCCGGGAAGGGAAGGGGGCTCCAAGTATTCTGCCTTTGAAGGAAGAAGAAATCCTGGCTGGTCGCCCAGTTTCTGTCAGTGGTCGCAGCAGCAAAAGGAATGTGCTACAGGCAGGCAGATGTTTTCAGTTTCGTTTCCGACGATCCAGATTGCAGAAGTGAAAGTGAAAGGTGGAGGGAGTCCGAGCGGAGAAATGGAGGAGGACAGACGCATCTGCAAGAACTGGTAGGAAAGCCTCAGCGCTTATCTCAACTTCTCACATAGGCGAGGCAAGCGTGCTTTGTTTTTGCAAGGGTAGCTTCTGTCTGTTTCATAATCTGCTTGGTGGCAGGCTGGGGAGAAGAGAACGCGTTTTGAAGTTGGGCAGGAGGGGTGTGGGAAGCCCAGCCACTAAACTCTAGCCCAGTGTTTCTCAACCTTGACCATTTTAAGGCATGTGGACTTCAGCTCCCAGAATTCCACAGCCAGCAATGCTGGCTGTGGAATTCTGGGAGCTGAAGTCCACATGCCTTAAAATGGTCAAGGTTGAGAAACACTGCTTAGCCCCAGATATGTGGACCTCAACTCCCAAAATTCCCTAGCCAGGCACCTACAGATAGTCCTTGACTTACGACCACAATTGAGGCCAAAATTTAGGTTGCTAAGTGAAACATTTGTTATGTGAGTTTTGCCCCATTTCTTGATGTAGTTGATAAGTGAATCATCACAGTTCTTAAGTTAGAAACATGGTTATTAAGTGACTCTGGCTTCCCCCTTGACTTTGCTTGTCAAAAGATTGCAAAAGCTAATCACATGATGCTGGGACACTGCAGCCGTCATAAATATGGACCAGTTGTCAAGCATCTGAATTTTGATCTTACATCCAAAGGGATGCTGCAATGATCATAAATGTGAAAAACGGTCATAAGTCACTTTTTTCAGTGCCGTTGTAACTTTGAATGGTCACTAAATGAACTGTTGTAAGTCAAAGACTACTTGTATCACACAGTAAAATATAAGTTCCTGTATTTTTCATATACTTCGTATATTTCCATTTTCAAATTCTTTTTTTTTTTTTTTTTTGCTGGTGATCCATAATGCCAAATACCCCTTGCTGTTCAGTTTATCAAGAATTAGCAAGTCCCAAGCCTTTTTATGTAATGTATTTCCAACATTCCATTGGTTTGCAAGGAATAAAAAGGAGAATCAGTCTGTTTATCAAAATTGAAGTTTCAGACACATTGATGATCTTGTCCATGGCTGTTGTTTTTTTTTTTCTTTCGTTCCTAGCAAGAGGGATGTGGCTGCGGTAAACTTCTCTCTTCACGAAGCTCACTGCATGCGGTTTCTTGCTCTCTGTCCCAAGTGTGAGGAACTGGTTGCTTCGAAGGACATGAAAGAGCATTATGCCAAGGCCCACCAAAAGGTAGGGAGGATCTTTTGCCTTGCTAGCCTTTGATAGGAGGCAGTCCGTGGGCTGCTGAATCTAAGGAGTAACAGGAAGGTGGTATGATGAGAGTTTATGTTTATGTTACATGCTAGTTGCCAAAAATCTGCCTTTATTTTGATCATTTGGCTGTGGTGATGTTGCAACAATAAGTAAGTGTAAGGACTGGTTGTAAGTGATTTTTTTCAGTGCTGTTGTAACTTTGAATGGGTGCTACACAAAGGATTATAAGTCAAGTACCTGTATGTGAAATAGCTTAGTTTTGCATTGTTTGGGGGGATGCTGTGCCACCATTTTCCCAGTGAAAGGAAGAGTTCTTTCTATACAACTTTTGAGTTTCAGATCCTGTAACAGCAGGGCTGGTTTGATAGATTTACATTCTAACCTCCACACTCTCCCCCACCTCCACACACCTCTCCCTGCAACAGTTGTCAGTTTGCCCTTGACTTCCCACTGAAGAAACATTGACACTGGTTAACTATTGGAATACTTTCTTTTGTGGGTAGGGTGGAGTAATGGACTATCTTTGCTGCAGGTTTTGCAGAATTTGAGGTGGGAGAGAGATATCCACTCCTCGTTCTGAGCACCAGATCTGTAGAAACGAAAACAATGCTGGATATTCTTCTGAAAGCTTACAGTGTGAAAATAGGGACAGTGTTGAAATGACCATGATTTTCTACAGATACATATTTGCAATGACTTATTCTGTGTCAATGAGGTTGACACAGAAAACCAATAGATAATTGATTGGAGCACCTCATCTAGCCCTATTCTTCCTAAATCCTATCTAGAAAGAAAGCTTTTCATCTTTCATTTATAAAGTTAATTTGTCTAAAATTAACCTTCATATACCTTGCCTTTTCATGATCATCTCCAAAATATGCATACACATCCATCGATGAGCTATAACATTGCAGGCAGCCACTAAAAAGAGTTTACCAAACAAGATATGCTCTCTGACAAAACTGGAACAGATCAGTGTTGTGTCTTACCTTCCTAACTTCCAGTGGGTGGTTGTGTCTTTGGGCAAAGCAATTGATTGCCTGCTTTCCATCCTCTCTTTCTATCTTCCAGGTCAGATGCATACTCTGTCACAAAAAGATGCAACAGTATCTGCTGGAGTACCATGAGGTAAGGCGTGTATCATGGTTCCAATAGATAAGACCAACTAAAACAGAATTCCGAGGCTTGAATTTTCCTCTGTGTTTATTGGTTACAAAATATCAGCATGGTCAAAAGTGAAACCAAGACTAAAGTTCCCTCCAAAAAGTTACATTATTACGAAGTTAAACTTCCCACCCCAGTACTATGCAATCAACTACGTTTCCTAATAGAATAGTTTGGCAGGCTTTCTAAATAAGGCCCAGTCCTCCAGTCTAATCAGCAGAAATGACCTTGGTTCCCATGGGACAGAGAATTGTTTAGACTAGCAAAAACTCCATACCCCTCCCCCCATTCTTGTGGCAACTAAAAATGACCAAGATGGCTTCAGTCAGGTTCATTGCACAGTTGACAGTGGGCATCTATCCCTGTCTTTGCACAAAGTTTGTGGCACAGGTACAGATCCCTGTTTTCATTCTCACCTGTGCTGGGAGAACAGCGTCTTCCTTGAGTTCACTTAGGATGTGTGGACTGACATGAGCTGAATATGAGCCAGCTGCACATAGTCATTGCAAAGGAAATGAAATGCCATAAAGGCCTTATGACCTGGCACCTAGGTAATTTCAGGACCACCTTCTCCAATAAGAATCAACCTTCCCTTGCTTGCAGTTGCCTATTTGGGGGAGGTGGAAAGGACTGAGACCAGAAATGCTGCTTCTGAGTGGTAGCACTCTTCTTTGAAACAGTTTCACTCTGGAACAAGAGCAGCCCTATTTGTAGTCGCTTCCTGGAAGTCAGTCCAGAAGGTTTTGGGGTGAAGTGAGATCTCATTAATAGTAACTGTGATTGTTGTCTTGTGCTCTAGAAGCTTTAACTGATGTATTCGTGTTAATGTTGTAAATGCCAAGAGATGGGCGGTCCATAAATTTAACAAAAAAATGAAGTAAATAGGTGAGAGAATATTTCTGTTGCCTCTGATGGGTGTCCATTTTGTACATTACGGAGCAGTACACCAGGCTTGTTACTTAGTGTGACAGATTTGCACATGCCTAGTATAGTTTAGTGTTAATCATAGAAAGCAATATAGCAGCGTAAAGAGTTTGTGTAGGCTAGCATTTTGTGGGAATTCTGTCTCTTTGGTTGGTATGTGTTTCATGCATTGGGTGAACCCAGAAAATGGACAAGAACCAGTTTGGTGTAGTGATTAAGGCACTGGGATAGAAAGTGGGAGTCCATGAGTTCTTGTCCCACCTTAGGCATGGAAACCAATCGGGTGACTTTGGATCAATCACTCTCAGTCCAAGCTACCTCACAGGGTTGTTGTTGTGGGGAAAATAGGAGGAGAAAGGAAATTATTATGCATGCTCATTGCCTTGAGTTATAAAAATAATAGACTGGGGTAAAAATATATGACTTTTTGTAGACTCAGGTTTATGCAATGTACAAGACTTCATATAAGGCAAGATGTCATCCACACCTCCTGTGCTCCATAGCTAATTCTGACTGTCCAAAGTTCCTTCTGCAAGCTCTGAGGCTTTAAACACAACTGTAAAAACTGAACTTTGGGTCCTTTGTTCTTCCCATCCCTGCAGGCTGAAGAATGCCAAGAGCGCTTAATTAAATGCCACTTCTGCGAGCTGGAGCTGCCATTTCATATGCTGCAACCTCACCTGGATGCTTGTGGCAGCCGCACTACCATGTGTTGGGATTGTGGCAAATACGTCATGCACAAAGCCCAAGAGGAGCACAAGCTCATCTGTCAAACAGACAACATGCTGAGGAGCCCTGGTGAGTTTCACACCTGTAGGTCTCTTGCTACCTTTGTCTAGTCTCCCTCCCCATCAATGCCCTTTTGAAATGCTACCTGGGAGTTGATGAAGATTGCCCAATCTTTTTGCATCTAGGACATGGGTGTCAAACTCGCCACGTCACGTGATGTGTCACGACGTATCGCGACTCTTTTTGCGTTGCTAGCAATAGGGTGGGCGTGGCTTCAGTATGATGTAACTGGTCCGTGGGCCGGCAGTTTGACATGCCTGATCTAGGAGCTGGGTCTGTTTTTCCCCTGGCCTATGATTAGTGAAATGAAAGATCAAAATGACCTTCCCTTCCCCATCTCTCTCTTTCTTGTGCTTTCTTCAAAATGTAGTTTAGATAGAAGTCAGGCTTTCCTATCCTCATATATTTCTGAATCTAGCTTTTACCTCAGATATAATGAACTTCTGTTAGCATTTACTGACAGCTGCACAGAGCCTATTTATTTATTTATTTATGAGACTTATATACCGCTTTAAGTGCAAGCACTCTCTAAGCGGTGTACACCAGTAAGCAATGTATATATATATTTACATTGCCCCCAACAATCTGGGTCCTCATTTTACCTACCCCGGAAGGATGGAAGGCTGAGTCAACCTTGAGCCGGTGAGATTTGAACCGCTGACCTGCTGAACACAGTCAGCTAAAGTGGCCTGCAGTACTGCACTCTAACTGCTGCGTCACCTCGGCTCTCTGCATATATAATCTGCATCCAAGAAGGTCACATAATGAACAGTCTTTTTTTTTTTTAAAGAGGGACATACAACATTGTTGCTCAGAATTCATTTAGCACTCTCCTTATATTTGAGAGCACATCCTCTAACGTGGGTTCCTGCTGAATTCAAGCCGCCAACAGAAACCCATGTTTTCCATTTACCACAGATCCTGGCTAACTCTTGACAGTTCACAGGTAGAACTGCCTCCATTAGCAAATGGATACTATAATCAATCAAATAAATAAGCTTGTTCTCTGTTCTTAGCCTAGACCAGGGATCTTCAAACTTCGCCCTTTTGTGATTTGTGGACTTCAACTCCCAGGCCTGGCTGAGGAATTCTGGGAGTTGAAGTCCACAAGTCATAAAAGGGCCAATTTTAAAGACCCCTGGCCTAGACCAGCGGTTCCCAACCTGTGGGTCACGACCCTTTTGGGGGTCGAATGACCCTTTCACAGGGGTCGCCTAAGACCATCGAAAAACACATATTTCCCATGGTCTTAGGAACCGAGACACTGCTCCGCATCTGTCTCCGCATGGCCTCTTCCACCATTTGCAGAGAGAGAGAGAGAGGCACTTTCGCTTCCCTTCTCTCTCTCTCTCAGGCAGACTTACCTCCTGCAGGGCTCCTGATTGGCCCTGGGAGAAGCGCGGCCAGGGCCTCGTGGCCTTGGAGCCGCCCAGGGAAGCCCCAGATCCCTGCTGGGAGTGGCCCGCTGGAGGCTCCGCTGAGCAGGCCAGTCTTCCCGCAACCCGTGGCCCAAGGGAGACCAGCCTCTGCAATCCCCAGCCATTGGACCTGCTGGCCAGGAAGACGTGCCGGAGTCCAGACTGCCAGGAAGGAAGAAGGAGATTCAGCAAAGGTAGGCGAGGAGAGCCGCCTCCTGGGGCCCAATGCTGGTGGCGGCTTCCTTGCCATCCTCTTCCTCCTCCCCTTCCTCCTACTGCCCCCAAGGCGGCTCGGGCGGGTGCCGGAGCAAAAGGGGTGCTTGGGGGGGGGGGTAGCAGCCGGGCTGGTGGAGGGCCTGGTGGGCCGCACAGCACCAGCCCCCACCATGGCTCCATCGGATGGGTGGAGGGTGAGGCCGGGCAGCGCGGAGTCCAGCTGGGGCGGCGGCAGAGGTTTTCTCGCCCTTCTCCTCTCCTTCCTTCTGCTGCCCCCAAGACAGCTCGGGTGGGTGCTGGGAGGAAGAGAGGTGCCTGGGGGGAGCAGCTGGGCTGGCAGAGGGGCTGGCGGGCCACACGGCTCCAGTCCCCACCGCAGCCCACCAGAAAGAGAGAGAGGAAAGAGAGAAACGGGGGGGGGAGAGGAAAGAAAGGAAACAGGGAGAAAAGAGGAAAGAGAAAGAATGAGAAGAGGGAGAAGAAAGCGAAAGAGGAAAGAGAGAGAAAGAGAAAGGGAGGAAATAGAGAAAGAGAGGAAAGAAAGAGAGGAAAGAGAAAGAAAGAGGAAACGGGGAGAGGAAAGAGGGAGAGAGAAGAGAGAGAGAGAGAAGAGAGAGAGGAAAGAGAAACAGGAAAAGAGGAAAGAGAGAGAAAGAGAAAGGGAGGAAATAAAGAAAGAGAGGAAAGAAAGAGAGGAAAGAGAAAGAAAAAGGAAACGGGGAGAGGAAAGAGGGAGAGAGAAGAGAGAGAGAGAGAAGAGAGAGAGGAAAGAGAAACAGGAAAAGAGGAAAGAGAGAGAAAGAGAAAGGGAGGAAATAAAGAAAGAGAGGAAAGAAAGAGAGGAAAGAGAAAGAAAAAGGAAACGGGGAGAGGAAAGAGGGAGAGAGGAAAGAAAGAGAGAGAAAGAGAGGAAAGAGAAACGGAGAGGAAAGAGGAAAGAGGGAGAGAGAAGAGAAAGAGAAAGAGAAGAAAGAGGAAAGAGAAAGAGAGAGAGGAAAGAGAAACAGGAAAAGAGGGAGGAAGGAGAGAGAAGAGAGAAAGGAAAGAGAGGAAAGAGAAAGAGAGGAAAGAAAGAAAGAGAGAGAGAGGAAAGAGGGAGAGGAATGGCGCTTCTCCAACCAGGCTGGGCAGAGCCGGTAGAGCGGCCTTCCTGCCCCCTCCCGGCCAGCTGGATGGGGGGTTGGGGGTCACCACAACATGAGGAACTGTATTAAAGGGTTGCGGCATTAGGAAGGTTGAGAACCACTGGCCTAGACATTTAAACAACTGGAAGGAGGCAGACTAAAAATCAAGATCCCCAGGAATGGCACATTCCTCACCGGAAGCTAGAATAAGGGTTAGGGAAATTGTAAGTATTTAGGGAAGGCTGAAATGAGGTAGAATAATTTGTACCTCAGAATGTCTCAGGGTTGTCTGTAGCAAAGCAGGGCAATCCTTACACATCATTGCACAGCTCCTTTCTTTCAATTACTATGTTGTGACACTCTTGCAGTGCATGGCTTGCATACTGGATAATTTTGCATGCTCAGACTCCATGAAAGCACATCTTTGCTTAGGAGTGAATAACAGGCTCAGCAGTTTGCTTTCTATTGGTAATTACCAACCACCAACTGAGCTCTTAACACCATTTTTAAATTTTGCCTTCCTTTACCTAGAGTTATTTTAAAAAATTCAGGGAATCAAATTGTGTTAACTGTTTTGACTGGCTATAGCAGGGGTGTCAAACTGCCGGCCTGCAGGCTGGTTTCATCATATCCGAGCCGTACCCACCCCATTGCCAGCAATGGCAAAAAAGCTCCGATACGTGACATCGCGAGTTTGACATGTGTGGGCTATAGTGCAGGTGTCCTATTAATCATTGCCTTAGCCTGTTGTGTGATGTTAGTGCATTGATATGATTGTTTTAGTTGCTTAAATGTTGTATGAATACAACATTGGGTCTTGTTAAGGTTTTGTGTTTTCTCTGTGTCTAGATGAAAATAATCAGGGATTTAATTTGCTTTATGAATATACTGTTGATTTGGCTAAAACTGCGACCCATTTCTAAGCCTCAGTATTTCCCAATTTATCCAAGGAAACCTAAGAGAGGGATAAAATGAATTCATTCATTCATTCATTCATTCATTCTCTTCCCTTGTTAAATCTGTGCCTGGGTGATTTTGGCTAATCAGGGGCTGTTGGAAGGGGCACAGACCAGTCTGAAATCTTTTTGCAGCTCTTTTGTCAGAATATTGGTACTGACTATTGTCTTCTACCTCTTCCTTTTAGGTTCCAAAACAAATTTATGCCAGCAGTGTAACAACTGGTTTCCAGCAGATCAATATCTACTCCACCTGGTAAGAATTTTGGCCATCTAAAATTGGCCTTCTTATAGCAGTGGAAAAACAAAAGAGACAACAATTGAAATAAACTTAAATGTCAATGTAAATTTTTAAATGTAAATTTTTAAGTTGACTGCAAAAGAACTATAAAAATCTAGAGAAAAAAGTTTGGGGCAGAAGGGAAAAAAACCCCTTCCCTCCATCTTTTATCCCTACAATTGGAATAGTAAAGCTTGAACCCAGGACTGCCTGAATGCAGACCACTGAGCTTTTGCCTTTGTTGTGGGGGAGGGCCAATTCTGGAAATGTGGGGCTGGACATGAAGGGAAATCCTTCTCACTCAACTTAGTGAAAAGGAGGGAGATGTTTTACCAGAAAGCAAAACATCTTAGTCTCTGTATAATTGGAGCAATTATTTTCTGGGTTATCTCATCCACTTTTATGACGGCTACTTAACCTACATTATTTAACCCACATTAACCAAGCCTTCTTTGGAACCTCTCTTTAATTCCACCCACAGAATGAATGCAGTTCACTTCCTCAGCTCCTGGGGGCTCTCGCCACCCATTCTGCCGCAAGATCAAGGTCTCCTCCATCTCCATGGAGCCCTCCATCTCCATCTCCTTCTTCCCCTACTTGGAAAATGAAGGCCGAGAAGGATGTGCGCCCCAAGAGGAGGGACAGAGAACTGCCTTCTCTCCAGAAAGCATCTCTAAGGTCTCCAAGAAGCAAAAAGGCATCTAGCTGCCAGGACTTTGCCTCCATCCTGACCTCCACTGGGCCGCAGGCCCTCAATGATGCGTATGACCAGCTGGCGACATGTTCCCAGTGCAACATCTTCCTTCCGAGCCCAGTCCTACAGAAGCATGAGGTGAGGAAGATGAACCCTCTGGGAATGTGGCAATAAGGGAGCCATTTGGAGGACGGGGTATTATCTGAAGCAGTGCTTTTTTTGTAAGAAAAAAGGTGCCGGAACTCACATCTTGTTAATCTTTTATTTACCTTTCACACGTAGTCAATCACTGTACACACACCCATACACGTCAGTTGTGTAACAAAACATAATGGTTGCCGCCCACAGTAAGCACTCAGCGCGCAACCACACGACAAATCACAAGCTGAGCAGTGCCACAAGCCGAGCAGCTGGACAAAGTACGCATGCATCGGACTCACGCACAAGCAGCCCGCGTGCACTTTTTTTAATGATTTTGCCGCCGACCTGCTTCACTTGATAGGGCGATTCAAGTCCATGTGGACCAAACATCAAATTTTCAAAAGTTACTTTTAAAACTTAGAAAATCCATCAAAAAAGGTGCCTCCGTTCCAGTGAGTTCTATGACAAAAAAAACACTGATCTGAAGCTGCTGCAGGGGAGAATTCACAGTGGGGCCTCCTTCTCTTGGGGAAGCTATGTGGACTTCCCTGACACTGCTGCTAAATGGCTGAAATCCTAGCCACAGTAGGCTAGTAGTCTCAGTATTTAGAAAATGGTAGAGAAGGGAAATGTTAATAAAAAAAAAAGATTATTCAAGTTTAGTGGCCTTTTGAAATTGAATTTCTCTACATTGCCTTTAAAAAGGACACTTTAAAAAAAAGAGGCTGCAATGGCAAAACCGTCCTCAGATCACGCATAAAATTCCAATTTCATTCCTATTTCAGAAAAAGTGCCAAAGGGCAGCTGCCCTACAAGCAATTCGACAGAGCTCACGATTTTTGGAAAAAGAAGGTACTATTATAACTTCTGGTTTGCTCTTTCCCTCCCTAGTAATTATTTAAACCACTTCATGCTTTTTATAAAAAAAATGGGGAACATCATACAAATGTTGAAAATATCTCCACCTGTTCAAAAAGGCTGCACAGTTTCACTCAAGTACTCGCCATATTTCTGCATTGCTAGAGATTCAGAATGAGAAAGCAGCATCTGCTTCTCTGCCCTGCCACCACTGGAACTACCACAGGGGTTAAATGGAGTCATTGTAAGGAGTGGTTTCCCTTTTTACTTTTACTTCCCAAAGTTCACAAAGCAGCTTCTAGTTACAATTCTAAGGAGAGATTCTTGGTAACTTCCATGGTGGCAGAGTGGTTAGAATGCAGTATTTCAGGCTAACTCTGCTCACTGCCAGGAGTTCGATCCTGACTGGCTCAAGGTTGACTCAACCTTCCATCCTTCCAAGATTGATAAAAACAAGGACAGATTGTTGGGGGCAATATGGTGATATTTGTAAACCGCTCAAGAGAGTGCTGAAAGCACTATGGAGCAGTATATAAATTCAAGTGCTATTGCTATTCATGAATAGGTCCATAGAGTTGCTTTCCTTACAGCAGCACACAGGTGGTTCCCAGATTTTTTTTGGGGGGGGGGAAACATTTCACATTCCAGCATACAAGTAGTCCTTGACTTAGAACCTGTTGCTTAGCAACTATTCAAAGTTTTGAGGAACCCCCAAAAGATAATTAGAACCCAGTTCCGAAATTCCATTGACCCTCCCTCCCCCATGATCATATGACTGTATTTTGGGTGCTCGGCAACCAGCCCACATATACGGCTATTTGCAGATCGCAATTTATAACATGTATGCATTTTCTCCCAGTTTCCAGTAAAAATGTGCCATTGTGAACAGTGGCTTTGCTTAAAGGCCAGCGCATTTGCTTAACAATTGCCCCATTCGCTTAATAAGAACTGCGAGAAAAATAGTAAAATTATGTCGCTCACAGTTATGACCCGAGTTATGACTGGCATGACTTATGACGATAATTGGCAGGCTCAATTACGGTCGTAAGTCGAGTACTATCTGTACAATGCTAGTATTTCTTGGCGGGTTTCCCATCTAAGAACTAATCCAGTTTGGCCCTGTTCAGTCCACTCCTAATCAAAACCTTTATTTCAGCCTTTAAGCCAAGAAAAGTCATAGCAAGCGAGGTTTTAGGGGCTGCCTAGCTTTTTTTTTTTTTTTTTTGAAACAAACTCAAACCAAAGTTTTAAAAAACAATCCTGGTATCACTCAGGAAAAACCAGGCAAGCAACTCCTTTGTTTCTCCAGGAACTAGGAATTCAAAAAGCGGGAGTTGCCGTATTGTCTTCTGTCCCCAGGCTCTCAACAGGTGCCTTCTTTCTGTGCCTCTGCAGGCCTCCTTGTTCTCCTATAGAGCCAGCTTTGTCTCCTTTCAAATACAGCAGCCTCTTGAAGACCAAGGAGTGGAGCATCTGTTTTATTCAGCAGTTTTTGGAGGCATAGGAGCTACCTAGGGTCACCCTCTGTTTGAAAATGCCCTATGGTGGTGACCGGATGGAATTTATACTTAACTAAATTCCTCATACAAAATATTTCCACTATTGTATCGGAAGACAGGAGGGTAGCTTGAGCTAATAAAACTAATCAAGGAGAGAAGCAACCTAGAATTAAGGAGAAATTTCCCAACAGTGAGAACAATTAACCAGCTACAGGAGTCTGCAACCTTGACAACTTTAAGACTTGTGAACTTCAGCTCCCAGAATTCCTCAGCTAGCATAGCTGGCTGAAGAATTCTGGGAGCTGAAGTCCACAAGTCTTAAAGTTCTCAAGGTCACAGACCCCCTGAATCAGCAGAACAACTTGCCTTCAGAAATTATGGGTGCTCCATCAGTGGAGGGTTTTAAGACGGGTCTGGACAGCCACTTGTCTGGAATGGTATAGGGTTTCCTGCTTGAACAGGGGGTTGGACTAGAACAGTGGTGGCGAACCTATGGCACGGGTGTCAGAGGCGGCACTCAGAGCCCTCTCTGTGGGCACGCGCGCCGTCGGCCCAGTCATAGGCCTTCAGCTGGGTTTTATAAAATCTTTTTACTTTAGGCCTCCACCGCCATGTACAAAAAAAAGGTTCAATCAATCAGTCAATTTCAACTTCTCGCGGGAAAAAAAAGATCTTGCAAAGTTGGAATTGATTGATTGAACTTTTTAGTCCCACCCAGTATGCTGTTACTACCGCAGCCACGCCCACCCAATGAGCCACACCCACCCGGCACCCGACAATGCATAAGTGGATTTGGGGTTGCAATTTGGGCACTCGGTCTCTAAAAGGTTCACCATCAGTGGACTAGAAGACCTCTAAGTCCCTTCCAACTTTGTTATTCTCTTAGGCCAGGGGTAGGCAACCCAAAACACTGAAGATAACACTGCATATATCTTTTTTTACCTTTATATATATATATATATATGCAGGTCTTGGTGTATTCGGGTCTTTTCCCATGTGAGATTAATCTTACACGGAAAGGGTCTCTCTGTCTGTCTCTGTCTCTCCCTCCCTCTCTCTTTCCTTCTCTCTCTCTCTTTCCCTCTTTCTCTCCCCCATCTCTCCCTCTCTCTGATCTTCTGCTCACATGGCAAGCTGGCTTCAAGCTGACATACATTCTTATTGGGCTAGCTCAGGGGTAGGCAACCTCGGCTCTTTTATATCTCATGGACGTCAACTCCCAGAATTCCTGAGTCAGCATAGCTAGGCTAGCTAGCTCTCTCCTGCCCTTCCTGCTTCCTGCAGAGACACAGCAAAGGGAGGAGCCCCGCCCAATAAGCTTGTTAGCTCGTCGGAACAGCGTGAGGCTACTCTCTTTTTTACACACACACACACAGAGAGAGAGAGAGAGAGAGAGAGAGAGAGAGAGAGAGAGAGAGAGAGAGAGAGAGAGAGAGAGAGAGAAGGGAAGTGCAAGTGCCTCTTTCTATCTCTGTCTGCAAATGGCAGAAGAGGCTGGGAGCTGCAGGGGAAGGCTCAAAGAGCCGCAGGTTGCCGACCTGTGTCTTAAGCAGATAAATGGTACAGGCTGCAATAGTACCACCAACCCCCAAGCACTGGTCCTAAATAAACATATAAAGCTCAGAGTTTAAGACCTTTAATCTGCATGCATGTAAAATATGAATTTGTGCGCTGGGGGTGGAGAGGTTGTCCTAAGAACCAAGGAGGAGAGGGTTCCCTTCCCCTGAGATTTCCCCCACCTCACCCCAAAGCGATTGTTCCTTGTTGCCCTCTGCCATGTTCTAAAGTATATTCTCTTTCCCTGTTTTGTGTTGCAGGAGAATCCATGCAAAGCTCACCAGAAGGAAGTAGCTGGCAATGACATGTCTCAGTGGCTGAACTGGCCCTTTTCATTCCAGCAGGATTGGGTCCAGGAAAGTGCCTTGCAACGCCCTGATCTGCGCTTTTTAAGAATAAAAGAGCTACACAGTTGACAACCCAGACTGAGCATAAGCATCATTTGCGAATTTACAACAAAGAGTCTTTGGAATGCAAAAGGGCCAGTGAGATTTGGGGCAGCTGAATGGTGCCTGCAAAAGACGCTGGACCAGAAGCAGCGCAAGGATTCCTGCATTTCTTTTCTCGGGGAAGAGCCTGTTGGTCTTTGAGGAGAAACTTGGTTATCCTGGGGAAAAAAATGTGGGTTTGTTGGAATTCAGAACTTAAAAAGTATATACAGGTAGTCCTCAACTTATAACCATTCTTTTAACGTTCAAAGTTACAAAAGCACTGAAAAAAGTGACTTACCACCAGTCCTCACATTTACTGTCCCAGCATCCCGACAGTCACATGATCAAAATTTGATGTACTGATTGAATTACTTACATATGTTTTGTTTTTGGATTGTTGATTACCCCAGCACCACGGTGTGTCTCGAGCACTTTGTATTAAGAATTTAAAAACCAATAAAATTTGTTTAAAAAAAAAATAATTGGGCACTTGGCAATTAGCCTGTACTTACAACAGTGGCAGCATCCCAGGGTCATGTAGTCTCCATGGGCGACTTTCCCCAGCCGGCTTCCCACAAACTTAATTGGGCAAGCTGAATTTGCTTAACCACTGCAGTGATTCACTAAATAACCGTGGGGGGAAAAGGTCACAAAATCAGGTGTGACTCACTTAACAACTGCCTTGCAACAGAAATTCTGATCCCAATTGTGTCATAAGTCGAGGACTATCTGTGTGCTGGACCAGTTAGCTTAAGAACTGTGTTAGAGTATTTAGCATTTACAGGGTTAATGTTGTATCATTGAGAGAACTGTATGTAAGAACATGTAGCATTTAAAAGATTAAATGCCGTTTCCTTAAGAGATGGCTTCTGGGTAATGTAGTTCAGTGTTAATCCTACAGCTTATCTAGACAGTGAGAGGAGTTAAAAAGTTATTGCAGGACATCCTGTTACGTGTCAAGGTTATAACATCCCTTTGTGTAACCAAGCATGTGCATGCATAGATGGCATCTGTAACCATGCTCAGCTGATATGGAGAATTACCATTTTTCTACCTACGCAAAATGGACAGATATGCAAAGACCGGACACATCTACAGCATAGTAAGTTTCTGCTTAGAATTCCTGGGCAATAAATATTTGTGTAAAATCATTTTTGTTGAGTTTATGCTGTCTGGACCAGAACTACAAGGCATCTTAGTTCAGGTTCCAGAATAATCTGTATAAGCTATGGGAGTCATTGCCTAAAGAATATCCACATTTTAAAAATTAGCCCAAGTGTTACCGGTAGAAGTCGCTTAACACTGCACAGAATTATGCAGGGGTCTTTGAGGGAAAGGAGGGAGAGAAAAAAGTCAAGATGGCATGGATGATCATTGGGTCGAAGTCACCAACTTTTATGATCACTGTCATCTCCTGTGAATATCCCTGGTATCCTTTTTGATCTTATGTCTCATTGGATGAATGATCGTGTGACCTGGATGGGGCTGTCAATTAGTAATCAGGGTCAGAATCTCAGGGTGGGTGACTCTAGCCTCCACTTTATCCCCCATTTTAGTCTATTCTAAAGGTTATTTTTTAAAAAAAATCTGTTTTCTGCCTGAAGAGGACAGAACATTTACAAATCCTATGAAAGCCAAGTGTTGAATCAGCACTCCCCTTGAGTTTTTAAAATTTCTGCACTAAAGATACTAGTTCAAATCCTACTTGTTTCCTTTCCAGCCATCACTTGCACCCTAGTCCTCTGTCACAGGGATTACGCCCCCCCCCCAAGAGCTTCTGATGAAGTTGGGCTCTGAAGTTTCACTAATTTATTCAGGGCAGATGTTTGACTTCTATAAAAGATTTTTGAAAGTTTAAGCCAATGTTTCAAGATCTATTCGTAGGGTCCAGCCAGCAGAGATTCTGCCAGCGTCGTGGATCAGAACTTATTGATGGAAATGGACTCTCTCATCTGCATGCAGAGCACTTCATCAATGTAAAGTGTATTTGCTTTGACTTCAATCTCTTCCTCCAGAGAGAGCTGCCGGCGGTGTAGGCCTTTCAGTTCTATTTCAGCCTGAGCCAGTGTGTCCTTCAGCCTAAGGGAGAAACGGGGGGGGGGAAAAAGGTGAAGGCTACTACTTTCTAGAGCAGACATGTCAAACACAAGGCTCAGAGGCCGGATGCGGCCTGCGAAGTGGTTTCATGTGGCCCGCGAAGCCATCCTGGAAACAGTGAGGGAACGGCCCCCGTTACCTTGGCTCTGGCTCAGGCCAGCCGGGAGCCAATGTATAATTTTGTGGTGCCCATCTTGGCACTTGCCCTGGTGGACCATTCCTTGGCACTTGCCCTGGTCCCACCCCCTTCTGCCAGAGACCCTCAGATCTGTCCCATTCCTGCCCAGGCCCCCACAGGCACCCTTGACGCGAATGATGTAGAACTGGCCACACCCACCCAGTAGGCTGCATCCACTCTGGCCACACCCAGCTGGCCCCCCCAAGGGCAACCACAATGCTGATGCGGCCCTCAATGAAATTTGACTTTGACACCCCTGGGCTAGAGTTTGGCAAGCCTCTCCAGGGCTTTCAGTCAAACAAATCACGACAATCTTCTGATTGTATGCTCTGGTCTGGCCCTGCTTCCATGTTAGTATGTCATAAAAGGTGGGTGTCCAAAGAAAGTAGGTTTAGTTCCGAAGAGATTCTGGTTGGCACTAAATTATCTCCTGCAGGGAAGTAACTCCTTGGATTTCCAGGCACAGAGTCTTTGGTATTTGCCTTGCTCGGTTATCAGGGATTCTTTTGATCCGCAGCCTCCAAGGAAGTAGATAGTGGCTGTCTCAGTTGTCTTTTGATACCTGTTGGTTGGATCCCTGCCCTCCCAACTTGTAGGGAAAGCAGGCAGGAGGTGGCCATGTGAATATGAACAATTGGTAATGCCTTATTGCAGAAGGGGGAGCTTTTAGCAACCTTGAAAGAAGTTGTGGTATGCCCCCCCCCATAGAGGGAATTTGTGGAACCATTAGCATTAGAGAACAACCAACCAGTCAACAGCCTTCCCTAAAAAAAGAACTGGTGATGGACCAACCTCACAGCACCTAGAGGAATCAGATTATCAGGATTCAGGCCAAGAGATGACATTGGTCACAATCTTAAATGATCTGTGTTGTAACTCGGATAAATGTACCCCTCCTGATCTTAATAGACTTTGTAATGGCTTTTGAGACTACCAGCCATGGTGCGCTTTTTTGGCCCAATTGCAAGAGTAGGGCATTGGAAGTGTTATTTCATAATGGTTCCACTCTTTGCTTAGTGGGTAGTCTCTATGTTGAGAGGGAAGAGAGGTTGGCCTAGTAGCCTATGATTTATGAGATGCTGGAGTTCGTCCTATCCACCCTGCTTTTTGACAACTTTATGAAGCTACCGAGACAGGTCACCCAAAGATTTGGGGTACTCAGTTGTACATTGCCACTCTGAGCTGGGGAGTGGGAGGGAGAGAAATTCTCTTTCCTGCTGTCTGGAAGCTATCTAGATCTGAATGGGAAAGAACAGCCTGAAGTTGAATCCTGACAATTTGTTGTCAATACACGAGGTGCCCTGTTATCAAATTCCTCTGATAGACAGTCAAGTTCGCAACTTAGGGGTGTTTCTAGACTTGGCTTTCTACTCCGCAACTAGAAATCATGGACAGGGAAACCTGGCTACAATAAATCATAATCTTATCACCACTCATTTGGACTACTGTAATGCACTCTGCTGAGGGCTGCCCTTAGAGAATATTCAGATACTACATTTGGTCCAAAATGTAGCAGCCTGCATCTTTTATGTCTTGATGCCCAGGCACCTTTAGGACCAGCTACTCCCATTATCAGCCTATCCAATTCACTCTATCAGGAAGAAACTATTGCAAATCCCTCACTTTTGACAGGTTTGCAAGCATGGTGGCACTGGTTTTTTTTTTTACTGCAAACCCTATTAATACATTAATGTATGGTTTACTTGAACATTGTTTACAGAACTAAATCAAGTGTCTTAGTTGCTGTGTTTAGTGAGGTTAGATACCTAACAGTTGCAAATGTATGTACAAACCCTAGTTAATTTGTTATTTAATGGGGTTTGCATACCCAGCTTACTTAATGTTCGAAATATGGGCAAGCCCAGAAAATGGTTAATTGAATAACCAAATTAAGCATATTCCATGAATGTAGTCACAAGCTACAAACTAGCCAACCACATTTTAATCTAGCACTGTGAAACCAAGAAATGGTTGTATTTACACAGCAAGCGTAATCTGGCTACCAAATGGATCCCATCAATACACTGAAAGATAAACCAATCCATAGGCTAGGTTTGCACAACAGGCTAAGCCACAAATATCTACTTTAACATTACTCAAGCTTGGCCTATTGTACAAATGCACCTGTGAAACCTTTACCCAACATCATTAAGCTTGTAATATGAACATGGCTTTATGGTAATCAGTCTGCTCGTGTATATCATGTATTCCTGCTTGCCAGAATGGCAGGCAAATAAATGCCTCCCAACTCAGCTGCTAGAAGCACCTGCTCAGTCTCAATTGGTCTCATTTGGATTGCTGAGATTCCTATTAGCATTGCTTGAGTATCTTAAGTTTCCATTTAGAGCCAGAATTAGAAGCCTAAGGAGAAAAATCATTCCCTAGGACTTAGAATGCTATACACTTTCCCAGAGTTTAATTCTGGGAAATCAAGACTCCCTCTGTTTAAATTCTTTGTCCATAGAAGAGCCACCAACTGCTCTGATCGCCCCCATGAAGCAGCCCCACCTTCACTTCTACTAGAGAGAAGTTAGTCCACAAATCCATTGAAATCTTTGACCAAAAGGGGGAGAATTAGGTCTACAATTAAGACAAATGATGGACCAACCAAAGGATCGATCACAAAATGAAATTAAACACATCCATTGCACGTACAGGTTTTACAGAACAGGGATCTCACACTTTTTCCTGCTCCTCCCTCACCCCAGAAAGTTACTAACTTCCTGGGACAACCCCAGATTTGACTAAGGCTCTGTGGCTTCTGTGTTGTACTTGCCTCTGGATATTATGGCAGATTTCCTGCACTTCACTCATGAGTCGATACTGCACCATGTCTCGGCAAAGCTCTACATTTGGACGGTGAGTCCGGGTATCCAGGCGAGTTTGGGCCACCTTGACTGGCCCCTCCTTATCCAGGATGGCTTTCTTCAGAGCATCAATATTTTTTGTCTGAGAATTGATCTCCTCCATCACCTTCAAATACAGACACAACCAAGAGAGGAACACATTTCATTAGATCCCTTTAACGTCTAATGGCTGTCTATATAAGAATAACAAGCCTAGTTCATTTTAAGTCTTGGCTTTATTCTTTTTAAACTGTTTAGTTAGTTAACTAGCTGGGGTTAGTTAGTTTTTTAGCTTTGCATTCTGTGTGAATACACCCTGCTTGGTTAGCTTGATTTAATGAACTGCAAACGTGAGAATCACCTTAATTCAGTAACCAAGTTGAATATATTATGCAGACTCAGTTAGGATTCTTAAAGGCTTAAGGGAGACGAGTCAAGGAGGGGTTATTGAGCAGGAAATGCCTGCAGAGACTCTTGGACTCTCCCCCCTGTCCTCACCATTTTTTCCACAATTTTTTAAAGCTTGTTCAGAGGAGGAATATTTGCAACTACTTCCTGGGCTGATGAATTAGGCTTCTTCTGAGGAAGCCTCTCCTGTGTCAGCCAGATAGAAAGAACAACTTTCATTCAACTGCAAGCAGTTTCTCTGCGTGTAGGAAACCAGGAGTTCTGCAGCTCAGTTGGGAAACAGGTTTTCTGCCCAATATTCTGAACAGCTGTTTCAGTGATTCAGAACAATATTGAAACCAAAGCTTGGTGCCTGGCAACTATGGAACTGACTTCTTTCCTTCAAAGGCTCAGAATTGGACATAACGTAGGACCACAACTACAAGGCAATTCCCTAATCCACAAGTGAATATTGCTTAAATGTTCCTAATGAGAGTTTTTCTCAAGTCTTCTGGAAGTGCCAAAGATTAAAATAAGAAAATTATCCATCAAAGACTGGCACCTTTTCATTAGCTGTTAATTAAATAAATAATACTGTGAAGGTGGGGGAGAATGACAGAAACAATTTTCCAGGTATCCATCCTTTTTAGGTTTTCTGGGGAGCATAGGTTCTTACATTTATGACTGCTGCAGCATCGCTACACTCATGTGACCTAATTTGGGCACTTGGCAACTGTCATATATTTATGGTGGTTGCAGCATCCCAGGGTCACACGACCACCACTTGTGACCTTCCCAGCCAGCTTTCAACAAATAGTCAAAAAGGCAAAGCTGGATTCATTTAACCACCAGACAATTCATTTAATGATTACAACAAAAAAGGTTGTAAAATTGGTCATGGTCATGTGATGACTCATTTAATAAACACACTGCTTAGAAAATCTGATCCCAATTGTAAGTCTCAAGTAAATCAAGGACTACCTGTATCAGAAGGCTATCAAAATTTTACACCTGTGATAATTTTGAAGGATTATAGTAATTCTTCCGGTCCTGCACGCCGCTCAGCAGTTGAGGGGTTCGGGACTCCGTGCCCTCCAGCTGAGTTTCTTCCCATTAGGGGACCCTAAATGGGCCAGAAGCCACCCCAGAGAGGTGGCAATGAAGGAAGGAAGTCCCGGGGACCTCGGAGAGATTTAAATATTTAAATGTAATTAACTCGGAGAAAATTGTAACCAGTAAAAATGTTTAGAACACTGTGGGAAAAATAAATGTAAACAAGAACTGTAAACAGTATATACGATGAGACACCCAGAATGATTAGATAGAAAAGGAATACTATATTGTTGTGATTACTATTTGTAGAAATATTAGAAAACTTTTATACTTAATTACCATTTATTAAAATAATAAGAATTGTATTAACTTAAGGTTGGTAAAAGAGAACACTATGGGAAAAAGAGGAAATCATGTAAAATTATCATATGGATTATAGATTATAGAATTTAATTGTTAGTGAATATTTGCTAAATGTAAACCCAGACAATGCACTGTCTACCAAATATTATGGTGATTATGTTAAAAATTAATAAAACATATTTTTTTTAAAAGTAATTCTTAAAATGGCAGAAAACAGCGATAGCTGCTTCCTTTTGTGGTCATGTGTAAATGATATCACATATGAGTAATGCTCCAGATTTTAGCAGATCTGGCTCTATGTTATAAAAGTTACAATTCATTCAGTGCATGGAGGGTAGATGCCAACCTTACAACTAGGATGGAGGTGTGTTCTTCCCTCTCTTTTTATTTCTCATACCAAAGTTGGGTACCCCTCCAATATTTACCTTTGCCAAGTGCATTTCTAATTTGTTCTTGCCATCCTTGGTTTCCTTCACCCTATTCTGGAATGCAATGTTTACTGTCCTGTTTTGCTTGCGCATGTCACTTGCAGTCTGGGACAAAATGCTGTCAATCAAGGCTCTGAGGGCCAGAGAATTGTTTCGCTGTTTGTCAGCTTTTTCAACATTTGTGTTGGAGAAATCCATCCATTGTTCAGGACTCACTGAGCTGTCCAAAAAACAAGAGAAAAAAAATTGACTCCCACATGCAACCCTACGTATTCAGTGTTGGGAGAAAGTATGGGAATCATTGTGAAATGTTCAAATCTTGGAGGGAAGAATCACAATCAACGATGTCCATAGGGTGGGTGTGCATGGTGGTCACGACCATGCAATCAAAGTCCTGTCATCAAATATGAAGAAAATAATACAATACCAAGTATTCTGGGTGTTAGTTATGGCTCTATGAGGCAATAAGGGAAAAAAGATAGATTGATGGAACATTTCTGAAGAAGCTTCTTGGATGAAAAGTGAAACATCTTTAAGGAAAAACAAAGAAAGTCCAGTTGCCTTTTGAAAAAGCATCTTTGGGACAATCATGACTTGGATGACTGAGAATCTCCATAGACATTGACATTGGTGGAGCATGAACCCAAATGAGCTTCCCTCGTGCTATTCTCATCTGTAGCACCATCAACTGCCCAGGTCCTTTCCAAGTTTGGCCTTTGTGGAAATGAACCATGGTTACAGAAGAGCCCCTGTGTCCCAATGACAGGTTTTCCTGGTTCTCCCACTCATTTCCCTATATGACACTTACTTCTCCTCAACCTTCACAACATTTTGGGCATATCCAATATCAGTGGAGTTGTTGGTCAGATTGGAGCAATAGTTGTCAATTGTGAAGGCTGTGAATTTATCCTTCAGATCCTGTTCAAGATTGTATTTCGCCGTGCGATTAAGCCTGAAAGAGGAAAAAGCCTTTGGGAAGAGAATAAATAAAAAGCTGTCCAGCCATACAGTTCTAAAATGCAGATTACACGTGTATCAAAAGACTCAATATAGCACAGTTGATATATTAGACAAGTATTGTGCATGCTACAAACTCCATGGAACAGAACATCAGATTTACAAAGAAGCCTTCTTATTTCTTCACAATTTTTGCTGTAGAATGAAGAGACCAGCTCATATTCCTCCTGCATATGTCTGTAAGAGAAGGGCAGGCAGAGTTGGAGGGCAGCGTTAAATGTATCATCAGTTTAGAGTCCTTGCATTGCCACAAGACACCCAAGTCCAGTCCTCCCTTGAATTCCATTGGACCTTATCTAGCACCAATTTAATGCTGGTGGTTAGTTGACCAGATTCTCGTGTATAGGCTTCAATGAATTGTTTATGCTGCAACCTTATGAATCGTACTGATTCTTTGCATCTGACATTGTCAAATGCACAATCCACCCAATGTCATTGTCTGGAAATTAGTGAAGACTTTGTTCAATTGTACCTGAGAAGTTTTACATGCAGAATAGTTGCTGTTCCATTGAGTTATAGTCTTAACACCCAAGACTACATACCTATTCCACTATACTCTGTGGAATTAACAGCTTTATTCATACTGCATCACACTTTAGGTTCTTTCCTATTGCCCATATCATCTCCAGAATTTCCACAGCTTTCTGTTTTTTTTTTTCTTTTCAGCCTTTTCCTTTTTCTATACCTGAGTTGCTCATCGGTTTGCTCCAGTGTACGTTCAAGCAAAGCGACAACTCCCTGGAAGACCTCAACTTCCTTGATCAGCTCCCGTTCCACTTCATCATGGACTAAGTCAATACCAACCCGCCTTTCCCTGAAACAAAAACAAAAATTCTTTTGGGGGTTTGTTTGTTTTTTGGCACAACAGGAAATCCTGACTCTGGGGGTATATTGTTTGCCAAATAATCAAGCAACATTTTATTGTTGTCAGCTGCCATGGTGAAACAGGTGGCAAATAAATTTCACAAATTAAAAAATATATAATAATAAATAAAGGCCCATACACAGAAAATTAATTTAAAAAATCTCAACCACTAGAGCCTACTTCTTACCATACCTGAACAACAGGAATTTGGGCAGGAATTTGTGTATTTATTATATTTTTATATCACTATACTTCCCAAGGATTCACAGTTATGTACAACTAAAATCTAAGTATGTTATCATAACTCAAAGGTCAATATAATTCAAAACCAATAGAATCATATAAAGTCGTGACAACAGAACTAAAACTAATATAAATAGGCATGAATGGATGTCAGTCAATGCTCTGCTGAATAGCTGTTTTCAGAACTTTCCTGTAAGATCCTTGCTGGATCTCTGATGGGAAGCTGCTTCAAAAGAAGAACCAAAAGACACTAATTTGTCATTTTTCCCCAAATTACTTTTGGCAGAAGAACCTACATCATACCCCATCAGAAGATAGACAGCATTTTAGGTCAGTATCAACATTTTGAATTGTATCCAAAAGCCTACTGGGAAACTAATGCAAAGCCCACATCACAGGTATAATACAGGTAATCCTCAACTTACAACCACAATTGAGCCCAACATTTCTCTTGCTAAGTGAGCCAGTTGTTAAGTGAGTTTTGTTCCATTTTACAAACTTTCTTGCCATTAGTGGTTAAGCGAATCACTGCAGTTGTTAAATTAGTAACATGGTTGTTAAGTGACTCTGGCTCCCCATTGACTCTCAGAAGGTCTCAAAAGATGTTCACACGTCCCCAAGACACGGCAGCCATCACAAATATGAGACAGTTGCCAAGCATCTCAGTTTTGATCATGTGACTATGAGGATGCTGCAACGGTCGTCGCCTGCTTACATGTAAACTACTTTACTAGTTTTGTATCACTCAAGGAAGTGTACATAATGCTCTGGCCTCTTATTTTTCCCGAAACAACAGCCATGGGAAATGAGTTGGGCTAAGAGCAAGTGACTGACCCAAAGTCACCTAATTGGCTAGATGACCTCCAAGGTCCCTTCCAACTTTATTATTATTATTATTATACCTAAGGGAAGACTAGAACTTACAGCCTCTCAGTTTCTAGTCCAGCACCTTCACCATTATACTAAACTGGTTCTTTGCACCAATTATGTTTTCTGAAGAGTCTTCAGAGGCCATTCTAGCTGATCTTGAAAAAAAACCCACATACTTAATTTTAGCCTAAATACTTTAGGTTGGATCTGGTTAGTACTTACAATGGAGACTAGCAAAAAATCTTAAAACAATAGGTTAAACTGTAAAGTTTAAAAAATCCCAGAGGGAAACAATGGCAGACATGGAAAATAACATAATTATGTTAATCTTGCTATTAGGAGCTGAACACAACTGGAGGAAGACTTATACAGATGGTTCTCAACTTTGATGTTCCTTCAATATGTGGACTTTAATCTGGAGAATTCTCAGCAATAGCTAAGAAGGCTGGGAAATTCTAGGAATTCATATATCTGGAGGGTACCTAGGTGAAAAAAACAATCCTATATTCTTCTCCAAGATTTTCCAATGTCAAAATCCTCCCAAAATGTAAAATGTTACAATGTCCTTTATAACTATTATTATTGTTGTTGCTGTGTTGTTAAATTTATTGCCACCCACCTCACAGATTGACGTGACTCTGTTCCCTTCAAGGTAGATTGTTACTCAAATAAAACTTTTATACTTTTCTTACTGTCACAGAGGAACTCTTAATTAGCTTTTTATCCCATCCCCATGAAGAAGTTGATCAAGAGACAGTTCAGAAGTAATTCCTCAAGTGTGCTAAACATGTAATAGTAAAATGGGTGCTGGATGGAGAGTATTTCTAGTTAAAAATGCATATATAGACAAAAGATGTCCATTTTCAAGAAAAGGCCTAATGCAGGTGCATCCTCTAAGAAGCAGAAAAGAAACTTGAAGAGGATAGGATAATAAAATATAATAAATAACTGAATCTTAATTAATAAATATCAGTGTAATTACAGGCAGTCAGTTCTTCACCCATTTCTTTTCAAGGTAGAGACTGGGACTCTTTTGAGAATGATCTTCAGCTCCAGAATCCCTAAAATAGAGTCAGCTACTCTTTTTGCAAAATTCAATATCCTGCAAACTCCTACGCTTTTTCATTTGCAGCATCCATAATTCCACACAAAATGTTACCTAAGCCTTCTTTAGGCTTAGACTTTTTCATTAGTATGGACTCGTAAAGTAGAGCACACTGAATAACTGCAGTGATTCACTTAACAACTGCAGCAATAAAGGCCCTAAAATGGGGCACAACTCACTTAATATCTGTCTTGCTTAGCAAAAGAAATGTTGGGCATAAGTCAAGGACTGCCTGTAATATGAACCCAGCTTATCAGACCAGCTTAGGATTTCATATATGGTGCAAACCTATTATGTTGTGCAAACATAATATATATACCTTAATTGAAGTCCAACATCTCCCTTAATACTTATGTATTGGTCACAACAGTTCTGTAATATTTAGAAAGGGCTTTCCCAGCCCTACCTAGCTAGACCAGAGGTTAGGCCAAGATCTTCTACATACAAAGCAGATGTTCCACTACTTAGCTCAGACATGTCAAACACAAGGCCCAGGGGCCGGATGCAGCCCATGACGTAGTTTCATGTGGTCCGCAAAGTCATCCTGGAAACAGTGAGGGAACAGCCCCCGCTGCCTTGGCCCCGGCCCTGGCCACCCAGGAGCCAATGGACAATTTTGTGGTGGCCATCTATGCTGAAACACATTCAGTCTTAGCTCCACAAGGTCGTCTGGAAACAGTAAGGGACCGGCCCCTGCCACATTGGCCCCGCCCCCTTGGTGCGTGCTGGGGAGGTGTCACCCTTTGTGAGGAATGAAGAAATGCACCATTGCCTGGAAGTGGCCAGCAAATGGCCCTCGCCTACTTCACATATCTGGCTTGATGGGCTCTGGGGGAGGGGTTTCGGCAGGCTCTTCCAGTGGACCATGCCTTGGCGCTTGCCCTGGTCCCACCCCCTTCTGCCAGAGACCCTCAGATCTGTCCCACTCTTGCCCAGACCCCCGCAGGTCCCCTTGACGCGAACAATGTAGAGCTGGGCATGCCCACCCAGTAGGCCACACCCACTCCAGCCATGCCCACCCAGTAGGCCGTGCCCACCCTGGCCACACCTACCCGCCCCCCCCTGAGGACAACCGCAATGCTGATGCGGCCCTCAATGAAATTGAGCTTGACACTCCTGACTTAGCTGTAGAACAAACACATCATAGGAGCAGTGGTGGGATTCAGCCAGTTCACACCACTTTGGCAGAACCAGTAGCTAATTTTTTGCTGCCCACGCCCAGAATGGACTTCCGGAAGCAGCATCCACACAGAGACCCGGTTGTTCACATATTTGAATCCCACCACTACATAGGAGATATACGAGTAGGAAGGTACATTAGAGATCATTTCCTCCAATTCTCTATTCGGTGCAGAAATCCACTACTTCCGCTTCCCCACAGATGGCGAGCTAGCCTTTGTTTAAACATGTCCAATGTAGAAGCCCAACATCTCCTGAGGCAGTCTGTTCCATTGCCAATTCTTGTCATAAGGAAATTTTATTTGATGTTCAATTTGAAATATACTACAGATAGCCCTTGACCTATGACCACAGTTGAGCTCAAAATTTCTATTAAATAAGCAAGACAGTTTTTAAGTGAATTTTGCCCCATTTTACGACCTTTCCTGCCACACTTGTTAAGTAAATCACCGCAGTTGTTAATTTAGTAATATGGTTGTTAAGTGAATCTGGCTTCCCTGTTGACTTTGCTTGTCAGAAGGTCCCGAAATTTGATCACATGACCCTAGGACACTGCAATGATCATAAATACATGCCAGTTGTCAAGTGTCCAAATTCTGATTATATGTCCATGGGGATGCTGCAATGGTCGTAAGTTTGAAAAACGGTCATAAGTCACTTTTTTCAGTGCCATTCTAACTTTGAACGGTCGCTAAATGAATTATTGAAAGTCAAGGACTACCTGTGTCATTTATCAATAGAAAGAGTTAGAAGTGACCTTAGAGGTCACCGTATTTAACCCCTACTGCAGGATCTACTAACTAGAGCATCTCTGACATGACCCTGCAGTCTCTGATGTAAAAGAGAACTCTCCACTTCATATGGCAGCCAGGTCCACTGGTTAATGATTTAGGGTTCAGAAAGTTAATTTAAACCTACTGTTTGTCCTGTCACAAGGAATAACTCCAAGTCTTCTCCTTCTCCTTCCTTAGAGAGGGCTGTAAAGCACTGTGAAGCAGTATATAAGTCTAAGTAGTATTGCTAGGTTATGGTGACAGCTCTTCAGAAACTTGAAGATCACCACTCTCTTTTCTAGACTAAATATTTGCAAGTCTCCAGTTATTTCTCGTAACATTTTTTCCTGCCAGCTACTATGAGTGACTCAAGACCTTTTCTCCCAGCTAACCAGTCATGATGACATTACAGAGTTTTTCTTAATCCAGACAAGTTTATCCCACCTGCCTCCAGCAAGTAGAAACTGAAGTAGCCTCTCAAGTCCAAAAATAAATAATCCTCTCACCGATTTAAGAGACACTCCTGAGCAGTGAAAAGTGGTTCTTTGCAGCCCTCCAGAGCTTTTTCCAGCCTTGTTTTGAATGACAAAAGCACTTCAGTCTCCTTCACAATCTGGTCAAGCTTGTCATCCAACTGCTGCTTCCAGAATTTTATCTCCTCAAGTCTCTGTTCTGCAGAAGTGAGAATACTCAATCACCCCAAGGTAGAGGAAAGCAGCATCCAAGTCCAACAGCAGCTAGATCTCAGGGCTTCATCCAAAAGGAAAATTTGATGACAGACAATGTGGATGAAGCTCAAGTGAATGATGCCTTCAATTCAAGGGCTGAGTTCACACAGTACTGAATCAACCCATTTTGGGGGGTTGCGCAATATATTGAACCATAACTTAGTCAAAAAGTCTGGGTTTGCATTGCATGATGAGACACAAAACTCTAAAACTGTAAACTGTATATTTTACGAATGCATCTGTTACATCTTTACCTTACCTGCTTAGGCATCTTGGGTAGACATATTAATCTCCATACATTGCAAGGGGTAATTGCTATATCTGCACATTTATCTCACAGCTCAATATTTAAGTTGGTTTAGAAGAGTGATGGACAACCAGAGTCATGCATGCACTTTCCCCAAGCCCATTTTTGCAGCCCAATATTGTATTGCTAAAATGTGTTGACTAAATGGCACTCTCCAGCAGAATAAAAATTGACACTGTCAAATGAGCATGTTAACACATGTTTTTCCAGTTTAAACAATCTCCAACCCCTTTCCTTCCAGGGACAAAAAATTCATCCTTGCATCATTGTCATGGGACAACTACCCATGCCTTCTGCGGCTCTTAAATGTTAGAAACAGGATGAAGAAACAAACATACATTAATGTGACAGACACACCCCACAGATCAGGTCCTTTCAGCAGGCATGGACAACCCCAACTGGCATGCAGCCTCCGAGACTCCCTTTGAGGGTCCCTGGATCCCACAGCCATTCTAGCATGGGCGAGACCAGATCTTTTTAATGATTTGTTTAAAAGATTTCTATGCCCACCCATCTGAAACAATTCTGGATAGCCCACAACAGTAAAACCAGTAACATTAAAACAGAAACACAAAACAATCAAACTAAAACAAGAACTTTGCAGCTTAATCATCCCTAAGGATGTCTCATAGCAAGCTCCAATTACTCTCCTTCCAGACTTTCTATTTTGGGGTGAAGTTGGAGGATTCAGGGAGCCGACTAGGTGGTTCCGCCCTAGGCGCCTAATGGACCCAGATCGGTTCCAGGAGGAGCTTGGGGAAATACCTGACTCCCTTGTCCACAACTCGTCCGGGTCCCTGGTTTCGGCCTGGAATGAGGCAGCGTCCGGGGCCCTGGATCGAATTGCGCCTTTGTGACCTCTCTGTGGTGGTGGTCCCCGGAGGGCACCTTGGTTTACTGAAGAGCTCCGGGAGATGAAGCGCCACAAGAGACGTCTAGAGCGACGTTGGAGGGCCAGTAACTCTGAATCTGACCGATCACTATTAAGAGCTATCTTAGGACTTATTTAGTGGCGATAAGAGCGGCAAAGCGTGTTCACTTTTCCGCACTTATTGCGTCCACAGAATCTCGCCCGGCCGCCTTGTTTAGTGTGACCCGCTCCCTTCTTAAAGTGGAGGAGGCGGAGGAACCTTTGCAGGGGAGAGCTGAGGAGTTTGTTCAGTTTCTTTCGGACAAAATCGCTCAGATTCAGAGAGACCTGGACTCCGACTGGGCAGTGCCAACCGAGTTGCCAGGGGCTGGTCTTAGTCATGTTATCTGGAGCGAGTTTGAGCCTGTGACCCCTGATGAAGTGGACAAGGCCGTGAGGGCAATGAATGCCGCCACCTGTTTATTGGACCCGTGCCCCTCTGGCTGGTTTCTGCCAGTAGGGAGGTGACACGAGGCTGGCTCCAGGCGATAATCAATGCCTCCTTGATGGAGGGGTCTTTCCCGCAACCTTTAAAGGAAGCGGTGGTGAGGCCCCTCCTCAAGAAGCCTTCCCTGGACCCAGCTGTTTTGAAGAACTTTCGTCCCGTCTCCAACCTCCCCTTTGTGGGGAAGGTTGTAGAGAAGGTGGTGGCGTCTCAACTCTTGCGATCCTTGGATGAAACCAATTATCTGGACCCTTTTCAATCTGGTTTCAGGCCCGGCTACAGCACTGAGACTGCTTTGGTCGCACTGACCGATGACCTCTGGCGAGCCCGGGATAGGGTTTATTCCTCTATCCTGGTGCTTCTTGACCTCTCAGCGGCTTTCGATACCATCGACCATGGTATCCTTCTGCATCGTCTCGGAGAGGTGGGGGTGGGCGGCACCGTATTGCGGTGGTTCTCCTCCTACCTCTCTGAAAGGTCGCAGTCGGTATTGGCGGGCGGACAGAGATCGACCCCTAGGCGCCTCGATCATGGGGTGCCTCAGGGCTCGGTCCTGTCCCCCCTCCTTTTTAACATCTACATGAAACCGCTGGGTGAGATCATTCGGCGACACGGGGTGAGGTATCATCAGTACGCAGATGATACCCAATTATATATCTCCACCCCGTGTCCTTTCAGTGAAGCAGTCGACGTGATGTGCCGGTGCCTGGAAGATGTGAGGGTCTGGATGGGGGTGAACAGGCTTAGACTCAACCCTGACAAGACCGAGTGGCTCTGGGTCTTGCCTCCCAAAGGCCAACTGGATGGTCCATCTTTAGTCCTGGGGGGGGGCAAATTTACCTCCCTCAGTGCAGGCACGCAACTTGGGTGTCCTCCTGGACTCACAGCTAAATCTGGAACAACATCTATCGGCTGTGGCCAGGGGGACCTTTGCACAGGTTCGCCTAGTGCACCAGTTGCGGCCTTATTTGGACCGGGAGGCTTTACTCACAGTCACTCATGCCCTTGTCACCTCAAGGTGACCGCATTCTGCCGCATAGCTCCCAGAGACCGGTGAGGTCCCCTAGATTGGGCCTCCTTCAGGTCCCGTCGGCCAGACAATGTCGGCTGGCTGGCACTCGGGGAAGGGCCTTTTCTGTGGTGGCTCCGACCTGGTGGAATCAACTTCCCCCCGAGGTTCGAACTACTCCCACCCTGCCGGCCTTTAAGAGAGCCGTTAAAACTCTCCTGTTCCGGCAGGCCTGGTGCTGATGTCCCCGGGGGACCGGGATATGATCGGACTCGCAGTATGACTGTATTATTTATTGTTTTATGATTGTTTTAACTTTGTACGCCGCCCTGAGTCCTTTGGGATTGGGCGCCATATAAATATTTGAAAATAAATAAATAAAACTGATACCTTGTCTTACAGAAATTTACCATGCCCTTTGAAAACTTCCAGTATCAAGCCAATTTTCCCATTTTGTTTTTTAATGCTTAAGATATCTGTTTTGCCCCTCGACCCTTCTCAAATAGAGTTCTTTTTTGGTTTATCCACTCCTGTACATTAAGATATCATTGCCCCATCTCCTGCACTCCTCACCCAGCAATTCCTTACCCTTTGAATTGAACTTATGAACAGTCCTCACACTTATAGCTATAGAGCATCCCCATACAAGCGATCAAAATGTGGGCACTTGGCAACTGGTATATATTTACAAAGGCAGCATCCCAAGGGCATGTGATTGCCATCTGCAATCTTCCTACCTGGCTTTCAACAAGCAAACTCAATGGGGCCATCATAGACACTTAATGACCGCATGCTTCACTTAACAATTGCAGTGATTCACTGTGGCACAAAAAATATCATAAAATCGGGCACAATTCATTTAACAATTTCCTTACCAAATTGGAAATTCTGGTCCTAAATATTGTGGTAGATTGAAGACTACCTGTATTTTCTGGTTGTGAATACTATAATTACAAACAAATTACACACAAGATACTAACACACACACACACACACACACATACACACACGGCAATAATGAAACTTAAAACAAAGCTTTGCATGTTATACAAATACAGATCTTTAACTGACTTGGTTCAAGCATCTTATGCAAACCTAGCCACCCGCTTTCAGACTCATGTACACATACGTCCATATAAATGAATTAATAGCATCCATCACCTATTCTCTTGTTGACATCACTCTGAGACTTCTGAGTGGTTCTCTCAATTTCATCTACCAACCGCTGGCTCTCATCTACCAAGCGTTCCGAACGAGACCGCTGGGCCTCGGCACTACTGTATTGGACCTTGTTAGCAATGTGCCATTCGGGAGGCAGAAACTTAGGAGGTGCTTGTATCAACTTGGCCATTATAGCATCGAGAAGACCCTGGGAAGAGAACAGAAGTTAAGTAAACACTTGGAAATAAAACTGGAAAACAACAACAACAACAACAAAAGTTTAACAGCAGGGAGAATAAACAGAAGTTGATTTTTAAAAAGGTGCATTGCCTAAAAAAACCTAAAGGATCTCCTTCCCCTTCAGCTAGAAACAGTAAGGCTTTAGTTTTATTTCAAAATTATTACAATGGAATGTATATCTTCACAATTCTCCATATCTGGGTATTTATTTCATTTCAATAACTGTCCATCTCAACAAGTGACCCTGAGTGATGAACAGTCTTAAAATACATTAAAACAATTCCAATCACAAATTTAAAATACACAATAGCCGAGGAAAATACAACTGACAATCACTAGCACAGCCAGAAGATAGGATTCTTCACACAGCCCTGAGCACATTTACTGCTTCTTGATTTATTTAAAATGCTGAACTAGAGTCACCCTCCGAACATTTCATATATTCCATTTATGCTTCTTTCTGCTCAGAAGGACATCCTCCAAGTATCAGCACTGAGAAAGATCATATAGCTTACGATGCCATATAACCAAATAGCTCCTTCTGTGGATTCATCCAGAAAAGACAATGGCTACCCAGATCCAAAAATCCTTGAATGCTAAAACAAATTGTTTTGCTAAGTTTTTGCTAAGTTATAGGAAATATTAAGAAGACCAAAATTCATGAAAAGAAAATGAATATTTTAAAAAAATATTTAAAATACTGTTAAAAAAGACATTTGGTTTAGCAGTTAAGGTGCCAGGCTAAGAAACTGGGACACCATGAGTTCTAGTCCTACCTTAAGGCTTGAAGGCTGGCTGGCTACCTTGGGCTAATCACTTTCTCAGCCCAGTCCACCTCACAGGGCTGTTGTTATGAGGAAAACAGGAGGAGGAAGGAATATTAGGTATGTTTGCGACCTTGAGTAATTTATTTAAAAAAATGTATTCAGTCAATAAAAGCCTTGCATCAGATCGAAGAGGGAGAAACTATCCCCTGGAAATAAGCAAGTAAGGGCCAAGTTCACTGCCTTAAGTCAGAAATACAAGAACTGATAGACTTCCAATGCATTTTTCCCAATCAGTACTGTAGCAGCTTCTTGCAAAATCCCCAGAAAGTAAGGGAACTGCTCCGAATCTTACGTGCATGAGGGCATGGGGATTTGTTATATATTCATTATCCCTATTATTAAGAGAGCTGCCCGCCCCATGCAAGCCTGGGGTACCCACCCTTTGGCGGTGATCTCTACAGCAGCTCCTCCGTTCGCGAGTTCGAATCGGGGCGTAGGATAGCGGAAAAGCAGGCACAACAAACCTGTTTCCATGGAAATAGGGCGACGCCTCCTATGGCAACGAGGCAGGCGCTGTAGAACGGAGCCGTGATTGGCTGCTGCTCTTTATAAACCCGTAAGAAAAATGAATGAATGAATAAATCAACAGAGGCGCGAGATCAAGATATTTGAATACGCAAATCCTGATCCCGTCAGCAGCAATTTTAACACAAATGAATCGAAGGTTTAGCCCTGGGTGGATTGATTCGCTGTAGAGATGCAGATAAAGTGGTGAAGGGCGCAAATCCTGCAGCGCAGAAAGCTGAGGGATCCTTTTCTCTGATCTCGCCTTTGATGCGACGGACAAGCAGATTTGCAGGTAGGACTGCCATATCTGGCTGCAAAAATCCGGACGACCAATAGATTTCCAACTCTTCGCTGTCATACTCCGGATCTTTGCAGCAGCCCGAAAAAGAGAGACACTTCGGAGACTAGGAGTCTAAAAGTTTCCTTTGTTTTCAAGTGTGATTTTATCTTGACCTCTCCTCGTTCTTCTGTCAGGAATATTAGGACCTCCTCTCTTCAGAGATTTTATTTCCAAAAATGTTTACTTACTTCAACAACCTTTGCTTCGTTTGGTTACTAGGTTAATCCGTATTTTATATTTGTACGCTTAAATGAATCGTATACAGATCAGTGTCTGGTTTGAATAACAAGATCAAGCTAACAATCATCAGGTTTGGCATATTGTGTGAATGTAATTCCTTGTCTTTAAGCGACTTTCACCCAAATAGGTGACTGACAACATCCCCAATTAGACTGGTTGCCGAGTCCGCAGGGTACTTTGAAAGTTAACAAGCGTGGAACTCGCGCCACACTTAGCCAACATGTGATTGGCTAACTCGTGGTTCTATCAACGAAACAGTCAATGAAAAACGCGGGCTGATGGGTCTTTTCCAATCAGAGATTTAGCTCGATGGTTAATTGGTAGATTGATGCAATCAATCAGAATAGAGCTGGAAGGGACTTTGGAGGTCTTCTAGTTCAGCCCCCTGCTCAAGCAGGAAATTCTTTCCAGTGGTCTGAATTTTTAAAATAACATTATTTCTATTATTTCTATCCCCCCATCCATGAAGTCTAGAAAAGGCTGAAACTTCACCCACACAAATTTGGGAAGGATCAGCCATTCTAATGCTTAGGATATTACATTATCTGACTCCACTCTTTTGATTTGTCACCTTACTATGAATTAGTTTATAAGTTCATGCATTTTGCTCCTGAGAATAAAATAAGGACCAAACGCAAAGCTGCCTTTATTTTATTTGTTTCATGGTGGCCATCTGTACAGCCCCAAGGTAGGAAATTGCCCTGAACAAGCTATTGACCGCAGGGAAAAACCTTGGAAAGAAGTTGATAGGGGTCTGCAGTGGTAGAGTTGTGTGGGCCAGACAGCTAAAAAGCACAAATTCACTCCAAAACACACATACACCTATTCCTGCTGCTTCAGGATAGCCAAATGGCTATGATTACATAGATGCCTGTAAAAGTCAGTATGACATCACAAGCCATTGACATCATACAAATGGTACAAATTCCATAATTTGTCAATCATGTCCGATTTGTACTATTTGCTTCATTTGAATAAAGTCTTGTGACATAATTGCCCTGCTCCAAACATACACAAGTGTACATGACCAAACGTGGTATATGAAACTATATTAGATAGAATGTGGTTTATTGTGTTCTTGGATTTCTGCTGTTGTCTTACATTTTGTGTGAATCAAGCCACCAACCTAACCCACAATTTGGTTTCTTCATGCAAAAGAGGCTATGTGAATCCAATTGGGTTTTGTTCATCTGGTTTTCGTGTTTAGAAAATTGCATGACCCTGGGATTCATATCACACATCATACAATACAGTTAACTGGATCAAGAGGAAATTAAAATGTTATGTAAATAGCTTAGTCTAATTAGTGATGGGTTTGGATAAGTTTCAGCCCAAATCCAAAAGATGTTTGAGGCAAAGTTAATTTCCCCAGAGTACAAAACTAATTATTTATTTCCTAGCGAGTAGCCAGCTGGGTCAGTCATACAATACAAAGAAGCTGATACTGGTACTAGGCAACTTGCTTTCATGCAAAATCTTGTATAATACTTGAGACCATTTTCAAAATAGCTTCAAGATGTGAAAAGCAATCCTAAAACTGAGATTAGAAGTGTGCTACACCTTAGCTGCCTGTTTCTCTAATGGTGTGGTTTAAGTGCAATGTAACTTCCTATGGGTGGATGTAAACAGTTTTCCTGGCCCAGGCTAATCTGAACCATGACTCTATTTTAGCCATGTAATTTTTGGAAGATCTGGAGCCTCTCCCTTATTTTACTGAGCACAATTCTCACACATTACCAGAGCAAATGCTTCTAGGATGACTCTTTCCAATCTGGTACCATCCAGAATTCTCATGTCAGCATGCACCAGGACTGATGTATCTGGCACCAGTTACTTCAAATATTTTGAACTCAATGGTGCTCTTGCTGTAATCAGTTTCCTTTCTGGCAATCATCGCCTGGGAGTCTGATGTATATCATAAAGAGCAAATTCTCCTCATTCCTTCAAGACCAGAAGACTAAGGTATGCAAGTATTGTGCAGAATTTCAACTATCTGTCCACAAGAGTCTCTCCACACAGTCCTTGTGCATCGCCATATCTATTTGGGGTAAGTATTCTTGCTCTGTTGCAGAACGAGCAACCTCAGAACTCAGGGTTATGCACCCCCTCTTTTCTGCCTCCCCCAGAGCCCGCTCCTACTACATCATAATGTACACCTATAACAAGTTTAATATAGTTTTTTAAAAAATAAGTTCCTCCCCACAACTAGGAAAAATAATACAGAAGTTCTCCTCCAGACAGATTTCCTCACTGCACCTTTCTTTATGGCCTTTCTGCCTCATTGTCCCTTTCTTTGTTGCCTTTCTCTGCACCTTTCATGTGGACTTTCTTTTCCTTAAATGCTAAATCGGATAACCTTCACATGGTTGCCAGTGCCTGCTCCAGTATCAGATAATATCGCCTGACTGGGTCCGATTCAGGATTCAGCGTGCAGCTTTCAGGTGACAGATTAACACATACTGGGGAAAAGTAATGCTGAGCAAATTGTGATGAAGTGTCAGTTGTGGTCATGCATGTTAATATACTCCATTATTGCAAGGAGTGTTTTTTTAAATGTATAAGCAAGTCTTTTGGTTTGAAGGAAAACGGGTTTCAATACTGCAGCCTTTGGAAACAGGCTGAGTTCTACAAGTATTCAAGAAGCCCCTGTGATCAAGAGAATTTGCACATTAGCCTTCAAACTTTCCACACTGGAATCTGTCTCTAGGCCTTAATTTATCCCAGAAATTCCAGAGCATAAGGAAGTGGAATCAGGAAAAAGAAGGGATATAAAACAAGGCAATAGCATAGCTGTCCACAAATGATAGACATAGCATATAGACTTTTGAGCGACATCTATGGAAGGAAGACAGGGAGGAGGAGAGGAGATCATGCTTGAATTATCCTTCTAGGTCAATTTGGTCAAGTCAGCTTGCACATACAGTTAAAAAGAAAATTCTTGGAACAAGAATCTCTATTCACAGCTGCCTAGAGAGAACAAGGAAGGAACTGCTGGCCCTTTATCTTTTTTCAGCAAGAGCTCTAGCTGCCCAGGAATCTTGACTGTTTTTATTTTTTCTTTCTCTTTGGCTTGTGGCTATGTCCAGCAGCCTGGGACTTCCCTCGGCAGGGATGGCAAGCAGCTGTATAGCAGCACCAAACATTAGCACAAAAGTAGTTGTGGAGCAGTCCCATTCTAAGAGTCATGGCCTTTCTGGATTCATTCAAAGCGCCGAAGATGGTTGTAGAGAGACTGCACATAGGTGAAGACACACATGGGGTCTGGTTTGCGGCCCATCAGCATCATGTCCTCCACTTCAATCAAGCGGTCACAGTTGGCCATTTTTCTACAAAGGGAAGCAAGGCATCAGATTCAGAAAGAAAGGCAATTTCGAAAAATTGGGAACTGGGAAAATGAAGGAAAACTATCATTCAAGGGGATAAGTTCCAACCCACCATCTTATGAAATTTTACTCAAAATTAATTTCCTCATATTTTTTCATTATCAGACAAGGATGTAAAAGTGTAGCCTTCTTAACCGAGGAAAGTTAAGAGGTCTGTGCAACTAATACAAATCTGCAGCACAATCTGCAGCAGGCAACTTATGATGGAAGTATCCTACTTACTCAGCTGTTGTGAATGCCAGTTCAAAGTTCTCCTTGCGCTTGGTGGGATCCAACGTGTTGTAATCAAATGCTTCGGGGAAGAAGGAGTGCACCAGTGCACAGAAAGCCATCCCATCATTCCAGCTAGAAGAGAAGTTCTGCAGATCTATGTGCTGGGGTGGGTGGGGGAAGAGTAGGGTGGCAGAACAGAAGAAGAAGGCAAGTGCTGTAATTCAGGAGAAGGATCTGACAGAGTTGGGGTAGAGAAGCCTGAATCTAAGTATCTGTGAGGAACCAGAAGTTGTATTACGGTACTTCATATGGGTTCACAAAGTGAAACAGTGAAGAAGCGGTGAGGGATTACAGAATTCCTTACCTACCTTGTAGCCAATAGTTTTGGACCGGCACCAGTCCAAGAGGATTTGCTTGATGCTGCTGGCACTGGCAACAGCAAAACTCTGAGATCTCTTGAGTTTGGTCCGGCCCACACTCTTCCCCCTGCACAAACGAGGGACACAAAGAGAAGAGATTGATACTGTTATCTAGAGAGGTAGTACTTCGAATGGAAAAAAAACAGCTCCTTTAACCTTTACCCAGAATTTTCCTATTTCATCACAGAGGAACTGTCAGAGGTAGAGAACACATTTGAATATTGTCATCCTGTGTATATGAAGAACACCAGCAATCTGAAGGAACATTAGCTTTTACCTTCCCATTCAAATCCCTTCTCTCCTATTCAACTCCTCCACTGAATTGGCATAAGTAAAACAAATTTTTAAGACCTTTCTTTCCTGCATGCTAGTTAGAAAACATTGCAATGATTTGTGCTGTTTTGCATCAGCTAAATATGCTGCCTTAGTTAACTGCTGAAACTAAAGTAGGAACTATACTATATTGAGGATTAGCCAATGCATTTTTCTTAAATTGTTGTGTTTTTACCAGAATAGAGCTTCTGGCATAGCCTTGTGCTGCAGACAAACAAGTGCAAACCATTAGGCTAGAAACTGTGACCTCAGCTGTTTTTGGATCCCCTTCAGGCCTTTCCTGAACCAACTCTCTAAAAGTTGAACTGGACCCAACGTACTTTCCAGCATCCTGCTCGAACTTCTCAAAGAGTGCTCTTCTAGATTGAGTTTCTGAGGTCCGGGGCAGGGTCTGAGATCTCACCAGTTCCCTTCGCTTTTCCACTTGTCGATGGACTGAAGAAGGTGAAGAGTGGGACTTTGAAGCCTGGGTTTGTTGGCTTGTGGTGACACTGCCCCCCCCCCAAAAAAGAGAGAAAATACACTTCAAAAGAACACAGTTGCAAAGGATGACCCACTGGATTCTCCAAAAGGGATGAAATACAATAGCTGGATTCATATAGTATGCTACATCAGGTCCCCTACATATTTTTGACACAATTTGGATCAGTAGGCATATCTGAAATTTGAAGACCATGACATGGGCACTCTCAAAACACAGCAGCCAGGGAAGATATGCATAGTAAAAAAAAAAAAAAAAACAATGACCACTTACCAAAGGTTGAAGTTACACCTAAATAGGCTACAGCTCCTATCATTTTTATTTTCTGTTACTATTTATTTCTATGCAGGGCCGAGGCACTTTTGGAAATAAAGGTTATGCTTGGGGGTGGAGCTTTGTTCTATAACAGTGGTTCTCAACCTGTGGGTCGGGACCCCATTTGGGGTCGAACGACCATTTCACGGGGGTTGCCAAACAACGCAGTCCGCCATTTTTTTCTCCTTTTTCCTTAGCTGTGCTACTCCCTTTTATTCTACTGGCTTTTGAAAGCCAATAGAATAGACTCTCTTGAATAGAGTCTAATTCTATTGCCTTTCAAAAGGCAATAGGAATTGTCCAGGCTGTCTCTGCCCTGCTGAGCCCGCCAAGTCCCATTCTGCAAACGGTGCTGCACCAGTTGAGTAGTCCTCGACTTACGACCGGTTGGGGGGGACCACGGCATTAAAAAGGTTGAGAACCACTGTTCTATAACATGCTGACTTTCCATTTATATTTTTCCCAATTAAAAAAAAAACTGTGCTAAACTCAGTTCCTACTTTATGGCTTAATATGATGTGAGAACCCAGCCAAATATAGTTTAGTTAATAAAACCTGATTAAACAAACCAAACCAATGAGCCTTTCCCCACTGGCCATAACCGCAGCACGAACATTTCTAGGCTCATAACATTTTCAGGGAGTAAAAACAGAGGGCAAATGACAACATGGGCACGAGGATGTAATCATACAAACTTTATGAACTTGGACACCGGGAAACAAATATGGAACAGTGGCATTGCATGTGACGTTACCACACCTGTGTTGTCAGATTAGTTTCATCTTGGTGCATACTACTGTCTTCTACTAATATTTTTCTGCTATATACCCATAACATTGCAACTATTTTGTCCCCTGCTTTAGAGTGAGACAGGCTTAAGTGTTCTTAGCTGTACTACTATTGAAGTAATGTTTCCCTTCTTACCTTAATACAGAAGTCCCAACCCCCAGGCTATGGCCCACTACCAGCTGGCTGGCGGGCGTGCACATGCGCAGCTCAACTTGCCTGAGCGGCAAGCCAATGTGCATGTGGCAGCTTAACTTGCCCGAGCAGTGGGCCGATTCCCCTCTGCTCCCGCCCCGGATGGGCCGCCAAACCATAAAGGTTGGAGACCGATGCTTTAACACCATCCATGGACATCTTCAAGATGTGTAAAATCTATAGGCTCATCACCTTGGCGGGAAGTCAAGAGTACTGCAATCACTGAAAACAGTGCAAGCAAAGGGAATAATATGGCATAATAGGAAACGGGAACAACACATTTCATAGTGGTACAAATTTTCCACAGTTAAGCAGTGGAGAAAAACCCAATGTCTATTCCACTCAACAGTATATCCATGCTGTGCCCCTATTACAATAAAACCCAAACAGCAGATACTTGCAAATCCAAGTATGTTCACCTTTCACTAGATTGGCTTCCATAGTTTACAGTCGATGTGGATTTTGTCCCCGAAGAAAATTTATCTGCACAAAAAAATAAAGAAATTGGCTCTCTTCCAAATCATTCTCCTACAGCATTTGTTTTTGAGGGGGTGGGTGGAATCATGCTCTGAACAGAGAAGAAGCTGGAATCTGCAATTCACTGGTGCTGATGATCATCAATGTCATCCAAAAGGAATTCTTTACTATATAGATTTCACCTTTGGATTACAAACCCAGGAAAGGCAAACTGATCTTAATCTGGATCAGGATATAAAGTTCTCTGATAATTTTCTTAGGCTTGCTTATATTATCAAGATTAAGTATAAATGCATCAAAATCTCCTAAAAAATAGATTCAGATTTTTATTGGTCACCAAACACTTGACCCTGCTGGACTACATCAAAAACTCTCTAGTTCAGCATGTTTAGGACTTAAAAATGATTCCAAATCAGTGCTTTGAACTCTGGATAAGCACTAATCCTCCCTAATAATTAAAGTAGCCACATCATTTCCAGATACCAGCCTGAATTTGAAAAAAAGATGGGCCTAAAAAAATTGACCCACTAAAAAAAATCCTTAAAGCAGCAGCAACGTTTTTTTACAAATATATATGGAAGCCTAAAAAAACCCAACCCTATTTTGAAGAATAACAGAAGGGTGCTGTGCTCATTTTCACAAGGTCTGAAGCAGTCCACCTAATCAATTTTTGAATTATACAGAGTCCTATTATTTCTCACAATGGCTATTGAGGCATCTCTCTCAGTGGCATCTGGAGTTGGAGTGGGTGTAGAAGGCAAAAGGGAGTTAATCATGTCAAAATAGTAGGAGTGACAGGAGATTGAAGCCCTATCTCTTTTTCCAAATATGCAATGCGCACAACGTTTGATAAATAGAAGCAAGGCTTCAATTGCCCTGTTGCATCCAGTCTTGACATTGTGAAATCCGTGGCAGACATCCATGTCTAGGATCAAAGCCCATCTGAGGACCATTAAGGCAGAAGCTCCATATTCAGCTGATGACACTATAGGCACTATGTGTTGAAATCAGCAAGATGCCAGTGTTATGATGAAGAGCAGCCCATGCCTTCACCATGCACCAAAAGAATCTACCCACTTGCTAATTTTGATGACAAAAACAGCATTGGGCTATCACGCTACAAACTCCACCCCTTTTGTTTGTGCATCGCGATATCACACAATGCACAAATCAAAGGGACAGAGCTTGTTTCAGAAGAGCATGAACTATTTTTATAATTTTCCTCAAATCCTCTGATCTTGTGGACACCTCTGCTTCCCCTCTAATTAATCTATCTGGTTTCCACACAGTTTCTAGTCTCCCAAGTTCTTCATCTTTCAGTGAGGGGTGCCTGTTCTTCAGCCAAACATCTGCCTGATATAAATGTCAGTCAGACAGCATTTGCATTTTTTTCTAATTTTATTATTAATCTCTGTGCCGCCTATCTCACTGGTGGCCTACAGTCATATAATTAAAATACCATATAAAGCATTAAAACAATAAATAAGAAATATGCATTTAAATTTCAGATATTTGAGGGCAAATGCATGGAACCTGAATGTGGAGGTCTTTGGAAACCTATTTATTGTGTCAATTTTTCCATACCATAGTACAATAGTACAGAAAACTATTATTCCAACATAGGAAAATATATGCAAACCCATTTGCTAACCTGAAGTAAAGGAAGCATTTGTTGTCCTCACTGAACTCACATTCCAGTTCTTCGCAGTGCTCAGGGTCGAACTGCTAGCACCTTTTATATCTTTTTTTAAAAAAAAAAACAAAGAGTAAAAAATGGTATTTTTTTTTAATAGAGAGAAGAAGAAAACCAGATTAGACCATTAACCCATCAGACCAGGTTAGTCCCTCCTATCAAAAGGCTACATTCCAACAAGTTAGCATTTGCCCAACAGCCCATTTGATTAACATGAGATTCTATGTGAGTGTGCAAACCCAGAAAATGATTTAACTTTGTAACCAAGTTAAATATATTGTGGGAATGCATTCAGTGAGAGAGAAAACTTCCCAGAACAAAGCTGCACTTCTCTGATGTTTTTTATTTTTTTTAAAAAAGAACCAGCCCAATTTTTATGTACAAGAAAGCTATCACCACTAAAACCCAAAATATGCACACCCAATTAAAATGCTAATACCATTAAGCGTCACTCGAAACAAACGTTTCCCCACAGGTTTAGCTCTAACATCTTTTTGAAAAGATGTGTGTAAAAACTTGCACCAGAAATGGTCCTTTCAGGAATGGATGCAATGAGACACTCCTGGGTTACTGATGAAGACCACTTCCAGTAATTCCATCATATTTGGAGTCTTGTAGAGAATCTCTCTGCTATTCATTAAAGAAGGCACAGCTTTTTTTCAGGGGTTCTGCAGAATCCTGAATAAAAGTGCTCCCACTTTAAAAGCTGACTTATCATATGATTAGTTTCTTAGGACTTGAAGAAAAGAGAACGGCTTTAATGAACAGTGGAGAGGCACTGTATTTTTGTGAAGTTCAAAGCATTTCTTCCACATCATTTTCAAAGGGTGCATAGCACTAATAGGTACCTTTGCATAGCTAGACTTGCACAAGTGGAAATATTTTATTCAAGTCATCCACTATTTTACCTGACTGAATCAATGTTTTAGACACAGCCTCATTATGAACATCGCTCTGCTGCCCACCGGAAGAGTTTGGCACAACTGGCGATCCAACAGTTTCTCCTGAAAATGCTTCCGATATTCTGGTTACTGCGGTAACAGGCTGGTGGGGCATCCGCGAAGACATGGCTGGAGCATGTGCCTCAAGAGGAGAATCTGAAAAGTGAAGAGAAGAGTATTTCTTGGCTGAGCCTAGCCAGGGCTAGTGAGGAAAAGAGCAAAACTATGTTGGGATCATTTTTTTTTAATTAAAATTCTACATTGTCTTATATTTTCCAGGGAATTCTTCTTTCTAAATACTAATTTTCTTAGAATAATATATTTTAAGGAAAGTTCAAATGCCACAAATATGAGATTCCTTTAAGCAGAGTTAAGTAACAGCTCAGTCCAAATGGCCAAGTAATTGCCTTATTAAAGCATATAAACAACAAGAAACCAATCTCCAACTTTTATCTGTACAATCTCATAAGTTCCATTTGCAAGACTGTGTTGTTTCTCTGGGTCATATATGTGTATGTATGTGGATATATGCATAATTTTTAAAGTATGCTGATTAATGTACATTTAAAGTGACAATAAAATTATTATTCTATTATAAAAAGTTATTCTATTTTGAGGTTTATTGGAATATGTTTAGATATGGAACCAAGAAAATCTATGCTTTCATTATAGGCTTTCTTTTACTTGCTTAAAAGACATTTATGACTTTGTTTATGCTGTTTTATCTTTTCAATAAATAAAGGAGAATATTTGTAGATCAGGGTTGAAATGGGGTCCTTAGTGCTCTCTGAGCTTGGATGTTTGCAAGAAAACGGTCTGCAAGAAAGCAACCAAACTCAAGAGAGCACCAAGGACCTCTCTTTTCAATAAATACCTTGTTTTAAAAATAGGTCAATATTTATTTAGGAAATCATTCCTATATATCGACTCCCCATTTAATAACTAGCTCCATTCCAATGACCAAGTTCTTACTTGTTCAGCTATGCCAGCCTTACTCTCACTCTGGCATGCATTGTTATCAAGCATACTAAATTTGGTTGTAAATGTGCACATTGTTCAGAAAATATTTTTTATTACTATCATATTTGCAAATGTCCACTAAACAGAGGTAGTTGCTAAATACGATACTAAATAGGGTATTACATATGATGATCTTAATCACATATTTAAAAGAACCACCCTCTCTTTTAACATGAAATACCATTTCACTTTGAACTATAAGTTGTTAATAGAACACTGGCCATCCACCTGGGTTTAAGCTCAATGTGGTAAACATTAAAATATTTAGTGATTTAAAAGACACTTTTTATTTCATTCCTATCCTAAATGGACATTTTTCTTCTTGTAATCTAGGCAGGGAAAAAAAGAGTGAATCAAACTTCCAGAGCCTGTGCAACATCACTCCAAAAGCCTGTTTAACTTTCACCACATCAGAAATGGTAAAGATTTATGTTCTCACTAAAAGGACTTCCTTTCCTTACCTCCTGACAACTGATGCCCATTCTCGGTTATGGCTGAATCAGGAGTTCTTTTGCTCATAAAGTTCTTTTCATCCTCAATGTCCAAACTCTGCAAAAGCAAGAAGATAATGCACACTGTTACAAGCACTGACTTGGGGGGGGGGGCGGGAATCGAAAACACCAGAGAGCAGATGGCTATTCCAGATTGGAAACCCCCAGCTTCCAAGTTTGCCAAAAGGAAGAGGGCGCATTGCACTGTTGAAAGGGAAGAGAAGTGCTTAGAGTAAAGAGAATTTGCGGCTGTGCTCACAAAATACACAAAGCTAAAAGAACAAACTTTATTATGGCTTAGTCAATTCTGGGAACCCAGCCAGTTGTGATTTACATACCCTGGTTTATGGCTTACAGTGGGTGTTTTATTTAATAAAATATGGGTTATACAACCTATGGATTAATGCAATATGTGATCTACGTAAGTGGCTTAAAGCCATCCCACCAGAACATGTACTTATGTTTTTGTAGCTACATTTCTTTTAAAAAAATTGGGGAGGGAAGATAGCTACAATATGTATGAGGTACTAGTAATGTTATTAAATCTAAATCTATCTTTTCTGAGGCCAAGAATAAAAGCTGTTCCCCAGCATACATTTGATTTGTTTTCCTGTAAATCAACTACTTTAGTTCTTCAGTTGTAAATTTTAATTGAATTTCATCCACTGTTTGAAAATACCTCTGTGAGATTCTTCTATACTATCCTCAATAACATCTGACTAAAAGGATGCAAGTCTATCCTCAAACCAGCATTGCCCATCCTAGAGGAGAGGGACTGAAGGAGGCTGGACTCCTACTTTGCTATAGAGCAGCATTACTGGCTAAACTTGGCTTAAACTCATAAGTATGAAAGGTTGTGGCATTTAAAAATGCCCGGATGAAGTGTTGTTGCCATCCATTCATCTCTCACATTTGTGAGAGAAGAGCAGAAATAGCTGGAGGGGGAAGTGGAGTTAAGCATGTCATTAGCTTAGAGTCATTAGATTCCCACAAGTGGTTCAAGTACAAACTATCCTGAATTCCATTGACCCTTATCATGCGCCAGTTTAGTATTGGACTTTAGTTAACTAATTTTTTGTGTATGGGTTTGAATAAATCTTCTATGCTGCAATCTAATGGATTATCCTGATTCTTTGTGCCTGGCAACACTTACCACTACACCAAATTATGTCCTGAAAAGCAAAATTTCTGAAGCAGAGGCCATTTTGAACCACCCAGCCAGCCAAGAAACAGACATGCTTATTTCTTAATTTACAAGCAGGGGCATCATCTATTGGGAGAGATAAGAGAACTCAAAATGGCTGCTTTGACCAAGCAATCAAAGCCCCACACTTTTCAATATACAGTAATACATATTAGAATGGGGTGGGGCTTCGATCATATAGTTACAGCTGCATCATGACAATTTAATAACCTCTTACAGACAGCCCTGTTTATAAGGCTTAAAAGCCTCTCAACCTGGGGCAATGTACAATCCCAAAATCTACAACTTGGATTAAAGCACAGAAGATTAATAGAGAAGCTAAACAGATCATCATTTTCATAATCTAAACCAAAACTAAAAACCATAATTGCAATACAGTTATACATAAACTGATGATCTGAACATTAAAAACCAAAGAACCAATTCAATGTGTAGAAGAATGCAGTAGTCACAGCAACCTTGTCCCAAAGGCATGATGGAACAACCATTTGAAAAGGCAGGACAGGAGGGGGCAATTGAACACCTGCGGAGGAATTCTATTATGAGGAGGGGTTAGCAACTGAAAACAAATGCTCTTATAGATTACAATCTCCAATTGAACAAATACAGGAAGAGCTCAATTGATTAAGCACTACCTTATTGAGTTCCTGTCAGAAAATGAGAAAATTAATTCCACAAGCCTGTAACAGTACCTGACTTTTCATGTCTGAATAGCTTGCAACCACAACTCTACAAATTTTCCTCCCTATCTACACCTCTGCAATGCTTTTGCTATCTATAAAAAAAATAATAAACAGAGAAAAACACATGTGCAAATTGTTATTAACCTTATTGCTGCAATGCCCTTCGAAGACAGTTATAGTTTATTCGATAAAGCACACTCTTACAAGCTTTGGTTATGCAGATGTAGCCATTATCTGATTTTCAAACTAGTACTCTTTATATCTTTAAAAATTAATTTTAAATATGCAAAAATCCAAAAGTTAAACACTTTATTCCTCTTTCTCTTTTAATTCCAGCCCGAAACAAATGGTCATGAAATGACCTGCAGATCTTTAGGCTATTGGCCCAAAAACTCGTATCATACTACAAAAAGATACATTATTTCCAAAATCATATATAAATGGAGTTAGGGTTTGGCTTTAAAACTTGCTTCTGATACTGAGGGAACAACTACAGTAGATCTAAGCATGTGCAGAGCATTTTCTCTGTAGCAACAGCCAGGTTGTCCATTTCTGTATTCATATCAGCTCAGAAAACAATGTCCAAATACAGAAATGTATAGGATACAGGGGAAACAATTATGGTTGTAATAGCTACATATTATTCTTCCTTCTAAAGGAGCAAGCATCTCTTCAGTGCTTTTCTTATTGAGAGCCAGATAAAGTAAAAGGAACATTTGAAGCAGCAAAGCCAGCGAAATGGATTGGTGACCACTGTATGGCAAGTAGCAGATGACAGGAGCTCTAATGTCTTCTACTAACTAGACTCAGGGACTATAGAGGCCATTAATGGTGGGATCCTTTTCTAGTCACAATCCCTCAAAACTGAGGGAAACCTCAGATGGCCAGGTCAGCTCTGAATCCACCCTTTTTCACCTAAAAGCATCAAGTGAAATTGTTATGAGGCCCATAATAGTAATATAAAACTTCACTCAAGGGCAACATTCCTAGAACATCATAATAACTAGTCTAGAGCCAAAATAAGCCAAGGGAACATGATTAGCTCTCCTAAAGTTATATGCTGGTTCTGAACAGGCATCCAAACCAGTCTGATCTTTTTCTTCCTTGTGCAGAAAGTCTAACTCCAGCTGTTTCCAAGTGTGAGGGATCATCACACATCATGGTGAGATTAAAATGCTGGAGTTAAGCTCCAAGCAACTTGGGAATCACTCACGAGACCATCATAGATTTACAGGAACAAAATACGTATCCCTCAAAAATCCTTACTTCATATCCCATTGCAGCTGTCAGCCTTCAGTGCCACTTGGCGTAACATACACCAGGACTATTCCCCAGCAAAGCCATTAATCACATTGATAGAAATGGAGAGGATGTTTATTGCACTTGATGGCAGTTCAAGGGAGCTCCAGCTGCCAGTGTTCTCTCTCCTCTCCCCAAGGCCAGGAATGGGGCCTAGCTCCTTAGCATGACATCACTGCTAAATAGTCACGGCACCTACCATAGTTCCAAGCCGCAGCCACCTGAACAATACAGCATAGAGAAAGTGTATTGCTGCCCTGCTTGAGCTCAAGAAATCCACACCAGATTCTGGCTGGAGGCTGCACAAAGGAGGAAAACGTCCTAGCCAAGGAGATAAACAATGGAAGTCAGACTTTAGACTGGTTGTTCAGCCAGAGTTTAGTCTGTTGACTAAACGAAACCTTGAGAGACAACTTTGTGAAGAAGGACAGACCTGAACAGCCATTCCACTTATTGGCATGATGTTGGAGGCTCTGGGTAATTAAGAGCATAAGGAAAATGCATCAGTAATGGTACTTCATCACTTATCCTGGTGGTCCAGATCACTGCCAACCATGTGGCTGGGTTTATACAATATGCTCAATATTAACATTGATTAAAAAGACACAGTTGTTCTGTATTCAAACAAATATATCTTAACATAATGGCAATTATATACCAACGACACTTAGAAATAAGATTATATATATATCTGGGTTGCAAAAGTCAGAATGACTACTAGATGGCAGCAAGGACTCAATGGTTTCCAGGATTACTTTACTGCCATCCATTGATCATATGAATTGTGGCAACTCTGATATAATAGAACTATCGTACTAAAACAAGGGCTAAGAGGACAGAAGGATAGCCCATTTCATTTGTTTGAGGTTCTTATTTGTTTCTCTCAGTTTCTAAAGGAAAGAAGAGATATAATTGGAATTCTGAGTGCTCACTTTTCGGTTTATAGCTTGCTTTTTTGTGCACAAAGCACACTTTAATCTATATTCTAAAATTGTATTTTAATTTTAATACAATTAAAAATGTAATTTTAATTAAATAAAATAAAATAAAATAAAATAAAATTCAGATCAATACAGTATTGTTAAATCAATTCAATTAACAATTATGAGTTTGATAAAAGAAATGAGTCTTGCCATTTTCCAGCACTATGCACTCAGTTGTTATCCAGTTTTATTCTCTTTAGATTCCTCTGAGCACAGGATAGTCAAATGATGAACCTAGAATTCATATAAACTAGGAGAGCAGCACATTTGGACATTCACACTGAAGATAATTTTGCCTCCTGGTGACTACCTGGATAGAGGTTGGGTTGGGTTTTTCTTTTCTCTTTTTCTTTTTTTACAATATCCTTGGAAGTAGTTTTAGGCACTCCTGGCTCCCTTAATTTTATTAACACTTCAAACAATACTGGTATTGCTTTTGTGAGTTAGTAATGGATAGCTTGGCACGTCAACAAATAACTTGTGGCTGAAGCTCATTCTAGATGAGGGGTGTCAAACTCAATTTCATTGAGGGCCACATCAGCATTGCGGTTGCCCTTGAGGGGCTGGGTGGGTGTGGCCAGGGTGGGTGCGGCCTACTGGGTGAGTGTGGATGGAGTGGGTGTGGCCTACTGGGTGGACATGGCCAGCTCTACATCATTCTCGTCAAGGGTGCCTGTGGGTGCCTGGGCAGGAGTGGGACAGATCTGAGGGTCTCTGGCAGAAAGGAATGGGACCAGGGCAAGTGCCAAGGCATGGTCCACTGGAGAAGCCTCACTGTTCCTCTCAGGCCATGTGGGGGGGGGCTGGATGGTGATGTGGACTGCCTGGAGCCCTGAGCAGCAGAGGTCAAACGCCCAGCCTGGCCCTCGAGCACTGCAGCACCAAGCCC